AATTATAAATTGATAGTTTTGAGAAAAATCTTCATAATGTTATAAAAACTTTTAATTTATTTTTCCTAAGCTCTAAGTTATTCGAGAATTTCAAATCTAAACTTTTATTAAATTCGAACAACTTATTAAAAAAAATATTTATGTTCTTAAGAAGATTAAAATATTGAACAATAATATAATAATAAATAATTTCATAGCTTCATGTAACTTTTGAACATAAAACTTCTATTGGAAAAGAAAATACGCAATAGATATTTTTCTCAGCTCATTCTTATTTATGAAAAAAACCAAAACAAAACGTGAAAATACTAACACAGTCAAGCTTTCATTGACCTGCGACGATGATTCTTTTAGCCATTGACAACCTACAACGACGTGGAAAATTTTTCATTCTTCGTTGTGTTAATCTCGAAGTTAACAAGAAACACTGTCGAAAAAGCGCCGGATGTTTCAGACAGTTTCAACATTATCACCAATAATACTACAGAGTCTCAGACACAACAATAATACCATAACACGTTCCATGTATAGTATTTTCATTGAAATATAAAATCAATTCTAGATCATGCGCTTTCGTTTCTGTCTTCCAGAATTATTCACACAATGAAATTGGGCGCAATTTTTTTAGGTCGGGTCAACAATTTTCCTTTCAAAAGTAAAGAAAGAAAATGATATTTAGATTATAAGAGTCGACTTTTATTTGTAGGTATTTTGTTCCTCAATCTCGAAAAAAACATTTTATTTGTGTCATGGCACACAGAATTGTATGTTAATAAATTTAACGCCTTCTGTCTAAAAGGATAGCCCTCACTCGAATCGACTGATAGTAAAACAGAGATTTTTCGTCGAAATAAATAATGACATAATATGAATGCATTAGTAAGAAAACGGGAAAGCAAATATGATATAATATTTTCAGATTATGAGTGAGAGAAGGCAGAACACTGGCACAGCCTAAAGAAACATTTTTTTTTTTTGTTAGATAATTTCTTTCCAATCATTATCAATGAAATTAAGTGCGACAATATAAAACACTTCATAAATGGAACAGCACTTAAACATTTCGTAAGCAACTGCGAAAAATATCAGCAACCTAAAATTATTTAGCTAGGTATTTTTTTATCGATAAATAATCAACATTCCAAACCATACAGTAAAAAAACCAAGTTATTTAAATCAAGTTTATTTTATTTATCCATCTGCTTGTATCTTAGATACTTCATTGAAAATATATTATTTATCTTGACAACTAATGTCCTCGATTTCCCAGATACAAATAAATAAATTGATTTACATATTCTTCATATGCATTGTCCATTAAAAAATCATAATTTGATTGCTTTTTTTTCTTCTCATTTACTTTCATGCTTCTTTAGATTTAACAATCAATACTTGATATTTCATGAAAATTAACGTACTTAGCTAAATAAGAACCAAGCTGAAATCCTCGCTAGGTAGAACCATTAGCTTTTCGTTTAATTTTCTTTGGTTTCAGAGATTACAGTTGCAAAGACATTTTTATCTTATTCAATGTTTCCACATGTTCTTTCATGTTAGCTGACTCAGCTCTGAAAACGGAGAAAGTTATACATAAAATTTGTGGCTCTAGTTAAGCGACAATTTTAGTGTGGTTCTAATTTAGCTGAATTTTTAGATACTCAAAAAAGTAGGAGAATCAAATTCAAAATTTATGTGCAAAAAACTTAGTCAGTTGAATGCTTTTAACATTTATAATGGTATATTTCGAGAAACGACAAGGAATGGCGAGAAATTTTCGAAAAAAAATGATTATTTAGCTATCTTGCCATTTTCATATTGTTCAACCTCATTTAAATTCATAAAGTCATAAGTGACTATTTGTTTGCCTGCATATTCAGCAAAACTTGCATGATCCCCAAGTTTGTCAGCGATTGATCGTTTGAAAACTCCACTTACAAATGGCTCCAAACGGTAGATTTTCATTTCGTTGCAAATGTCTAAGGTCCTTAGTGAAATGTAATCATCTTCATGGTCGAGTTCTGGGACTACTACACGCATTTTCTTTCGTAATACATTTGTGTCGGGGAAGTAATATCCGGTTTGCATTTTTATGAAAACATCAGCCATTGATCGTGGAGGTAAAGTGACTTCGTAGTCAAGGGGATAAATGAAGCAACGATTTGCATCTCCGTCAACAATTGTCGTCTGATTATTTTTGTAATCATGAATGAAACGACCTTTACGACCATCACGAAAATCTGGAATTGTGATATCTGCATAACTGTCACTGTTATCATCTTTGATTTCAAGTTCTTCCTTGAACCATTTCTTCTGAACTGTGTCATCATTAATATCACTGAAATCTGTCTGCCAGTCGCGCATTTCTTTCATTGGATTGTTGAAATCTCGTTGAAATTCTTCCAACATTGAGCTCAGCATGTTTTTCAAACTTGCAGCTTCCTCGCTGAAAAAGTGAAATTTGTTATTAAAAAATACACAGTCGGAAATAAAACTTTCCAAACTTACTTTGTGATGTCATCTTCATTTTTATCCATTTTCAACGAATCAGAAAATGCCCCATCTCTCCATCGTGTATTAACCCAGAAGTTTTCTTCACGACCAACATCGTTAGAGTAAGGGATTAAGCATTCGAGTCGCTGAACTTTTTCTCGTAAATATTGACGATAGAAGCAGACACCTGCCAAAACACCCATCAAAAGTACCAAGACTGCCATCAAAAATACTAACAATGTAGTAGCGCGTGCACGATGGCGTGCATGAATGATTCTTGCAGCTTCTGCATCGCTTAATTGAGAAATCGATGAAGCAGGCTGTAAAACATTACATTAAAAATCCTTAATATAATTTGAACTTATTTGTTAATTCTTCATCAAACTAAACACAGCTGCGTTTTTAAGTATCATCTGGTTTTCACTGAGTCATCGATGAATTTCATCGAAAATGAAAACATCAAAACGGTTCATAGAAGCAGAAAATTGTTTTGATATTTGCTTTTTTTTCGCACTGATAATCACATACGCAATATACTTTTACATCTTTGAATAATATAATAAAAAATGCTATGTGAATCATTTAATGCATCATTCATATCATAATTTGTAATTTTTTGGATAGAAATTTTTTTTTCATTCATTCAAATATTAACAAAAGGCATTTGCTGAATGTTTCAAATTATGGATATTGTCAGGAAATAAACAAACATGAAGTATGTAGCTATACCTAATTGAATTATTAATAAAGTGACTATGAAAATATATATAAAGCGTAGAAGAGAATTTTTTCCTTTTCAAAATTTTAATTGTTTTTATTTGGCTGAAAATTTCCAATTATCTTAATACTTACTGCAATTGGAGCTGTTGGTATGGGTAGTAACTTCTTTTTATCAGTTGATTTTGTAAGAATTGTCATTTTTAACTGTAGATTTAGCTTCTGACAAATTGTTTTTACTTAAAGTTGGAATTCTCGAATTTTAAGAGGGCCTTGTAACGTTGTTCAAGGGGAATTTTTTTCTCTATCTATTCACGGCCCTGCCTAACCTCTCTAACTTAAATGTGTATTTTTTTCAGAAAAAAGTGGCATATACCTAATTTATTGAAAAATTTAGGAAAATCTTACATTTCTTGTGGTTTTCATAATAATTCTTGAAATATTTATGCAAAAATTTATATTAAAATGTTTAAGTTACGGTTTTAAGGTAAGCAGCAGTTGACAAAAATTAAGGATAAATTTACTGCAGACATTTTTTTTCGCAAATCTTTTGGTTATCAAAATTCTTCCGTGTTTAGAAACAATATTTTGTTGATAATCAATAAAAAATAAGCATTTTCGACATTCCTGTCATAACTTTTCTTTATGAGTTTCTATTTAAAAAAATTTATATTTTGTTTGCGGTATGTTGTTGCAATTTAACGTGTTAAAAATCGATATCTAATTTTCTTTGACATTTTAGTATCATTCAGATTGCATTACATGTTCATTTAAGATATGTTTGATTCCTTGATCATTAAAAAATCATATAAGTTTTAAATGTTTTAAAAAAGTTTGTCCAAAATTGAGAAATATCACAAGAAATATTTGATTTTACAATTTCCAAGCTAGTAGAAATTACAACAACAAAAATATCGATTTTTCCTTTTGCCACCACCTCTCAAGGTTTGCATAAAATCTTATGGCCATGGGATGTTCTCAGCAGCATTTCAATGAAATATTCTCGAAAAACACTGCACATTTGGATTTATTTTTCCCATCAACTGTTTAAATATTTGATTTTTTTTTTTCATTTTGTAGGTTCATTCATGAATGCAAATTGTGGAAAATTTAAACTGATTTCAACAAGCACAAAACAAAACAAAAACATCATAAAAACAAATAATACAAACTAATTGAAATCATCATCAAGTGAGATTATTTAGTTTTTTAGTTTATTTGAGTGGACGGCTTAATCTAAATGGCTGGAACTGGAAACATGAGACAAGGTAAGTTCCGATTTTGAATCTTCACTGATTATGTCTGATTACATGCTCGTCATACATTCCATGAAAAATCAAACAGAAGATGTTGCTACTTATGTAGTTGCAAAGTACGATTACTCCGCACAAGGCGCTCAAGAACTAGATTTAAGGAAGAACGAACGCTATCTGCTACTTGATGATAGCAAACATTGGTGGAGAGTTCAAGATGCACGTAGCCAATCCGGTTACGTTCCAAGCAATTATGTCAAAAAAGAGAAAAAGTCTGTTTCACTTTTCGATAGCTTCAAGAAAAAGGTGAAGAAAGGAACAAACCCACGAACTCTGCCCAACTCATCGCCATCACGTCAGGTGGATTCACCAACAATGGGAAGAAAACTGCCTCCAGATCCTTCTGAAGCCATTGGAACAGCAATCGTTAAATATAATTATCAAGCACAACAAGCAGATGAACTGCAATTAACAAAAGGAACCCGAATATTGATATTAGAAAAGAGTAATGACGGTAAGTAAGAAGTTTTTTTAGAAAAAGATTTAAAGAATCTCATCACCAATTTATTATTGAAGGATGGTGGCGGGGACAGAGTGGTAATCAAACCGGATGGTTTCCAAGTAATTACACAACAGAAGAAAATGACGATGATGGTGTTCACACTTATGCGATGGCTGAAAATGTTCTCGATATTGTTGTCGCTCTTTATTCATTTAATTCTAACAATGACACCGAACTTTCTTTTGAGAAAGGTGACCGATTAGAGATAGTTGATCGTCCACAAACTGATCCCGAATGGTATAGAGCACGAAACCAAAAGGGACAAATCGGCCTTGTGCCAAGGAATTATTTACAAGAGCTTCAGGAATATTTAAATGCTCCATATCGTGGTGGTCCGGATTCAATAGATCGAAGACCCGAAATGCCTTCATCAGCAACATCAACAATGCATAGTATTTCTCATAATGCAAATGGAAATGGAAACGGAAACGGGCAACTTGAACGACCAGTGTTAAGTGGTAAAAGTTGGTACTATGGCGCCATTACAAGGAATCAATGTGATACTGTTCTCAACTCACATGGACACGATGGCGACTTTCTTATTCGAGATTCAGAAACAAATGTAAGTCTCATTATGTGTTGTTTTCCTTCCAAATTATTTAACAATTTTTTGTACAGACTGGAGATTTTTCGGTGTCACTTAAAGCTCCTGGTCGAAATAAACACTTTCGTGTTCATGTTGAAGGCAATATGTATTGCATTGGACAGAGAAAATTCCATAATCTTGATCAACTCGTCGACCATTACCAAAGAGCTCCCATTTATACAAATAAACAAGGCGAGAAATTATATCTGGTGCGGTCACTGCCGAAAGCAAACGGAACTTAATTGTAATTTATTTCTTCGTATTTTTAAAAATTTAAAATTTTAAATCTTAATTACAAGTTTTCTGTTATTTTTTCCTTAAATTCAAATCACAGATTTATGCTTTTGATTTTTTTAAGTTAATTTATGACGAAAAGTTAAGATAAATTACTCTAGGACAACTTTAGTTGTTGCTTCAGAAGTGTATCTATTTAGAAAGCAAGAAACACTGAAAAATTTCGCCGTATCATATAAAGAACAAGTCACATCGCTGTCTAAGCATCAGACTAAAACGACATACTGAATTAATGTAGACTTCCGTAATTCGCGCTGTTTAATACTCGAAAGGAAGAAAATCATAAAAATGAAGAATGAACAATAGAAAGTGTGTAATATTTCTAACAAGCAAAAAACATTAGTTTTAATCAGAGTGAAGTGTGAAAGGGGTCTCGGAAGTATGTATCTAACCTTTGTACATACTGAGTTGCGAGCAGCGGTCTAAACTGGTTGAAACTCGACCGATTCCGGTTCTTCAATTTTTTTTTCGCGTTGCCAAATCTCGTTTCCGGTTCTTGGATATTTTTATTTCGCCTCCAATTCTCGAAAAATTCAGCGGTTTCTACCAGTTCCGATTACTGATTGTAAGATAACATTATGTATGGATGAATGATCCCCAAAGATTAAAATAATTTAGCGTTAACAAATAGAATAAAAGCATTCATAATACTACAAGTAAGAAAAGTAGAGAAATTTCTTCTTTCAAGTGATAGTGCTGAATAACATAATCACATGAAAAAGGAAGAAAAAAAGTTTTATACATAATTAAGGTTTGATGGATAAGAAAATGAATTGAAAAGTGTATGTTTCTCTTCCTATTGCATCACTCACACACAGCCACATAGATAAGTGAATATGGTATCAAATCACAAAAACTTTATAAACTTCATAAAGCTTTAAGTCAAAGATAAATGAAAAGTTTGCATCATGTCTATAAATCATCCGTGTTTTCTATCAATTTCTTGATGAAGATTTAACGGATTAATCTCAAAAGTCAATCTGCTCGACTTCTCAAAAACTTCCATGGTAGAAAGTAACATGAAGAAAAGAGATATCCGTGCTTCATATTGAATGAATAACAATTCTTTTTGATAAAGTGAAGCCAATAAAGGCAACGATATCTTCTTTTTGTGACATAAAAGGTTTACATACCTACTTTATTCAAAAAAGAATCAGAAGAAATAATCATGACATTTTTAGATTATTTAGAATAAAGCGTTGAATGAATTAAAGAACAATCTTTCTTTTAAATGTGGTTACATGTTTCAATATTTAGGAAAAATGTTGTAAATTTGGTTTGAAGAATTCTTTCAAGAAGATAAAGAAAAAAAATTCTCTTAACATCTGGCCTACTTATCACCGTAATACATCAAATGAATTTATACCGTACGCAAAGAAGACAAAATATCTAAATAATCTATTAAAAAATTGTAATTGAGAGTTTCTAATCATCTTCTCCACGTCACAAATGTTTGTCGCAAAAATTTTCATCTTAATTTCCTTCCCGTTACTGTTTTTTTCTGATAGGTAACTTTTAAATCAACGCAATGTGATAAAAAATGAAATAATTAAATTAATGGGAAGAAAGAAATTTGATGTGTCGGACCCATTTAACATTGCACCACATAATTAACATTTCGTAAATTTTTATTGAGATTTCTTTAGTTCAATTTTTTCAAACACTTTAATCGCAAGTAAGTTGTGTACTGTTTTTAATTGAATTCTTATACAAATAGATTTTGTATCGATTAAAATAAGTTCTTTTTTGATATTCGATCGTTAGCTATAGTAAAATAAATATAAAAATGCACGCATACATTCGCTATTCATTCATTAGCTGATTAACTTTGTTGACGACAGAAAATCTCCTTTTCTAAATATTAAGAACGAACAATATGTGTAAAAAATAAATTACGATTGTGATGATACATAAATGACATCGTCCATGAGTCGTTTCTACTTTTGGCTTGCTTTTATTTTCTACCAACTTCGGTGAATTTTATTGCTTCTCGTAATTAATCCCATAATATTACCTACTTACAAAACAATAACTTAACTGAAAGAAAATAATCAACCGAGTTAAATTTAAACACTTCCATTATTCATACTTGAATACTTTATTAATAAAGAAAGTAAGACAAATTTTTAGAAATAGGAGAAAGTCGTTTTTCCCCATTGAATATAGATTTTTTTTTTGTCTTGGAAGTCATATTATGTGTAATGATGATAAAATAATAAAATTAAACATTTATACATTTTATAAAATAAATAAAATGAAAATATCAATGAAAAATAAGGAATTTGGTTTTTTTATTGCTTTTATTATTATTTATGTATGTTACAAAACATTTAAATTGTTTGATAGCTGATGGGAATATTTTGTAGACAACAAATTACCTTAATCTTAATCTTCATCTTCTTGGTCGATTGTTTCTTGGCGGAAAGTCTCAACTTCAGCCTGAGAATCTGCACTGATAAGTTTTGATTTGACTCCTGGTTTTGGGTGCATCAAGACGAACGGTAATTCAGCAGCAAGTTCACCACCAAGGGCACCAAGGAAAAGCTTGACTTTGACAGCATATGAAACGATTATTCCAAAAGCATCTCTCTGATCAGGTGACGCTAACCTGAATAGAGAAGACGAAGAAAAAAATAATTTAGGATATTAAAAAAACAATAAACATACAAAGTAGTTGAAGCTAAGTTCGTATTCTGATGCTTCAATTGACCATCTAAGGCAATTCCACGCTTTTGAGCCACAGAATTTAATGATGGCATTAAGTAAATGACTTTCTGTAAAGAACTGCCTGGTTGAAGTGGGCAACCTTCTTCGGTTTCCATTGATGAAATTGTATTACGATATTGCCCATTTTGAAACAACACGACATCAACTCCTTGTTGAACCATTGCTTTAATTTTTTTCACTGTCTTATTTGAATGATTTCTGATGCACAAATTGATAGCGATCTTTTCATCATGTTGATAAAGCTGCTTATCTAATGTCACCTCCATTTCCAATTCACCAGGTGACAACATGAAATCTTTACGAACGACTGTACATGGTTGATTGCCTTGTTTTGATGGCGCATATTGAACTTTTCTTATTCCCAAAGAAACTGTTGAACGACGATGAGTACGATCAGTTTCGGACTCACCAGCAAAGATTTTCACATAATATTGCACACCGCATGGTTCACCTGTTTCATCTTTTGCTTGCTGCAAAGTTATTGAAGCTGGAGCTGATGGTGGAATATTAAAAGTGAAAGGGAAAGCATTTTCGCCAAGTTTCTTGAGTAATCTGTCTTGAACCTTCGACAATTGCTTCTCTGATTTTCCAGTCGAAGGGAAAATTTGCTCGGACGCTAGGAAAAGTTCTTTTTGGAAGTTCAAGCCCATGACTTCATCTTCTTCCCGACCATAACGGAAACTGCAGACAATTTGACCAAAGATCTTACGTCGTTCTCGAACGTATTCTTCGTCAATCACTATAATACCTTCTACAGGTTCAACTGCAGAAATATGATCAACAAAATCACGTTTTCCCATATACAAATTAATTTTTCCATTTGGCGAACACTTCTTAAAAACTTTGAAATTCACGACCATTTTGATAAATATTTGGAGTTAAAATCAAAAATTATTCAATTTAATGTTGTGTCACTTGAAATGTCACTTTGCATACTAGAGATGGCTGAGAATTCCCTCGCTCATTATATATAGACATTTTTTTTCCACATAATTGTCATTCTATTACGCTTATTCATATCATACTTTGTCAGTAGCTGATCCAATTTATTTTCTGTATTTACTTAACAGCATATGTTATATGAATTCCTTTACAGGTGTGAATCCGGTAATGATACATATATTACAATATGTAAAAATAAATCTCCCTAATGTGACCTGTAAAATTGGAAAATGACAAACGAAAAGTCGTGTTCGAAAAACTTCAAAACGTGAACTTTGTTGTTGACGTATGACGAAGGAAAATATATTTTGTGTGGCTTCACTCGTTTTGAACTTTTGCTAAAGATTTGCCGAAATTTTTTCTTTGTTCAGTAGAAGTCAATGCTTGTCATTGCTTCTTAAAATCGACAAAATCAAAACTAGTTATAACATGTAAAATTAAACATTTTATTTTCACTCATACATGGAATCATAATTAATTTAAGAAAAACAAAGAAAAATTCTTTCAATAGAGAAATGAAGGTTTCCCTATATTATCACAAATACCTAATAAGTAGGTAAAAAGTTTAATCTTCATTATCCTGGAAGCCTAATGTTTTGACTATTGAAGAACAACGGATAATATCTATATTTATATTTATTATAAAAGATTAATTTCAAGTAAAATTAAACAATCATTAGTGCAATACGAATTTCTCACGATAAAAGAATTTTTTTAATACAAAACTTAAACAAAGAAAAATGTTTATTTTTAAAATATGTTTACAGAGAATGTAATAGAATGAAATTGTCTTCATCTCCATTATCGTAACGATATACGTCTCCAGCAACAACTTTATAAAGAGGTTACAAATCTTTTGCACGTTGTCTTGGTTCTGGTCCATATAATGAATTTGGAGCTCCACTTTGACTGTCATTGAAACACATGGTACCGTCTTTTGATTTAAAGATTAAGTATTCTAAGGTAAAGAAAAACAATTAGAAATTTCATTGGTGGAAAGCGAGTTTTACAAGACCTAAATTTATAAATTGGTTTTTTTTATTTGATTAAAAATATTAAGAATGAGCACTACAACCATTGATAATACTTCTCAATTGAGAATAACTCAAGGTGTAAACAGCCCTCAACCTAGTACATCTAAGGTTCAGTATACAGGAAATTCTCCCCAAGACACGCCACCTGTTATCGTCAACAATGGTAATAACAATGCGCCTAGTTTAAAGAGAAATTGGGCAAATTCACAGATGCTGGTAACCCCTCCATCTGGTCAGGTCCCTCCACTACGTCCCAGTCCACAGTCTGGTCAAACAAACTAAGGATCAAACCATTGTGGAAAGTGACGGAACTGTTTTTGTTGCCTACGTTCCTGAGTCCTACCCGGAAAGGATCATCAGCCACGATGACAAAATTAAAATTATGAACGCAATGAGCAGCGCGTACAAGGATGGTCGAGCAGAAATGAAACAGCGTAATATCAACCAGGTGGAGTTCCACGCCACCGCTGGCATCCTGGTGATGAAGGAAAAGAATACCAAAGGGGCTGGCTGGAATGAACTCTTGTTCAAACAACAGAACTGGAGGAAAATCCTAGGTTTTAATATCTGTTGCGTCCCCGCCCGGGACGTCACTGCCTCCCCAGCCTTTATGCTGATTGTTCCACGTACAGACTTGAGTTGGAAGGATATTGTCTCTAACATTCGCAACAGCAATGGAAAGACCTTCAGCACCAAGGACTGGAAGTTGACAGTGACCTTAGAAGATTGAAACTCCCTACTTGAACGACCAGGCGCTTGATCCGTTACTACGTGGTTATCATCGTCCACGGGAGATGTTGAGCCATCCGAGATTGATATTACATCACTCCCTTCATTCTCCTGGACACCAGCAATCTGGGGAATGTCCAGCAGGAGTTGCCGTGCGGCTTGATATTACAAAATGATTGCATCCCTCACAGTTTTCTTCAATTGAGTTATTCTCAATATGGCTTCACGTAACTCACGCTATCCATTTTATTGAAAACAAATTTTAAAAGTTAATTTTTCAAAACCCAAAAACCAAATTTATAAATTTAGGTCTTGTAAAATTCGCTTCCCACTTGAAATTTAAAATTATAATCCTTTTCCTTACCTTTATTTCTTCAGTGAATTAAACATTCCCTGTGAAAATATATTAAAAATTTAATTATTATTCAATGTTTAATTATGAGTTTTATGAATTAAGCTTGCATGAACTTAACTTTTAATTATTTTAGGATGCACGTGTTTTTAAAATTTATCGTTTATGACGCGACCACACACATCGAATTTAAAATAAAGACTGAACAATTTTTTTCACTAACTTTGAGAATGCAGAAAGAACACTTCACGCGGAAAACAAAGAAGCAAACTTGACCGTTTCAACTGATAACAAAATCAACTGATAACAAATTGTTTCTAAGTAGGTTTACATAGAATTTTATAAAACTATTTCAGATAAAATTCTTTCACATGTTTTGAGAAAGAGTAAATAACGTGGTGGTGCCAAACGCATATCTAATTTAATAATGAAAACTGAATGAACATAATGAGAATTTCTAAATTGACGGCAGTGACTAGTCAGCACAACCCAATTTCCTTTGAGATTGGAAAATGTTCTCATTGTCATTTGCCGCAAATCTTCATTACGACTGTTCTTAACAGGTGGGTGAAGGTCTGTTTTAGTCCCTGACTAAGAACTAATGATGATTTTTTAAAAATTTTGTGTAATGTTTGTTTCATTGAGCCACAAAAGAAAATTAGCATTTATTTTTATATTACAACGGATTTTGATCAGGAAAGCATTCATTTTGAATCGGCATCTATAATTTTCATTTGAAAAAAGTTTTTGATGACATTTTATTTTCTTAAAATGACCTGGTACGAAGAAATAATGAAGTAAACTACATTCGAAATTATCTACCGATTTTAAGTGGACCATAATAGCTTCTTTTTCCCTACCTATGTATGATGATGATGAAATTTAAAAAATCCGCAAAATCCAAAATCATTTACCCCTCTCACACTTTAACTCAACTGGAACCTCTCTAAGTTAAACTATATATTCAGAATTTTCCGTGATCTATCGACAAGTTCGATTTAACTAAAATTATATTTGAGTTTAGGCAAAATTAGTCTGTAAGTATAAAACAATTATCGTGAAGATTTGACATGTTAAATTGATTAAATTGATTGAAAATAATAAAATCAGTGGAAAATAAAATATTTAACAGAAAAATTTCTCGATAAAATTTTTTTTAAGAGAATCTGAAGTTTTTTCTTGGTCTTCTGTAAATAGTAGATTATTTTAAATCAGACCTTAAGTCCTTAAAAGTGTAACCTTTTATATAAAAAAACTATTGTGACAAGTTTTCATTGAATATTAATCTTTTCAACAAACAAAAAGCCATTACATCACTTTTCATACTTTTTACTTCAGCCAAGTTCAAATATTTCTCTTATTTAAGATCTTTTCTCGGACAAGCCATCATTAAAAATAATTACAATATGAATCCTTTTTATGCTGGAATAAAAGGAATATAAATTAAATCGGCTACAAAAATTTCTTACGTAATCAGTGAAAAGATTTTTTCCTCATTTTCTCGCAGTCAAATGACCCTGGCCTAAATTTTCTTTATATTTTCAATACCTCAACTCTAATCACATTAGAACTTGAAAGAAATTTCAAGTGCATCTGAAATTAGACGCGCATTTCTAGTGTCTTCATATAATCACGTGTTAAATTGAGCATATTTTTGAATGTGTTAGTTAAGAAAACACCATGCGTTAAATAGAATCGAAGGCCACGAAGTAAATTTATGATTTAAGTGTGTTGTAATGACATCCTTTTGTATTTTCAATACAGCTTAAATAATTTTTTTTTATAAAAAAACTAATTTGTAATTTCCCATTTTTTAGTTAAATATGGGAGTCCCTGCTGGAGATGTTGAAAAAGGCAAAAAACTTTTCGTCCAACGTTGCTCTCAATGCCATACTGTTGAAGCCGGTGGCAAGCACAAAGTTGGTCCAAACTTGAATAAGCTTTTCGGACGTAAAACTGGTCAAGCACCTGGATTCAGCTATACTGATGCTAACAAGGCAAAGGGCATTACTTGGGGTGATGATACGCTTTTCGAATATCTCGAGAATCCCAAAAAATACATCCCAGGAACAAAAATGGTGTTTGCTGGTCTCAAAAAGCCTCAAGATCGTGCTGATTTGATTGCTTATCTCAAGTCAGCCACTAAATAAATTTAATAAAATGTTCAGCTATTACATTTTCATTGACAGAATGACATTTAATTAGCGCATTTTCAAATCCTTCAGAATAATTATTTAGAATGAATATAGGATTACAAATTTACTTGTTAATGTCATCAATAGTTTGCTGTTTGTGATGCAAGGGTAACACGTTTTCTCATAAGCGTAAAACATGGATTTATACAATTTTGTTTATATATATTTTCGTTCATTTGATTTCCAATCAAAGTTTATTTATTTAATAAAATAAAGGAAAAAATGTAAATCATGTTTACCAAATAAGCTGAACTATATGTTAATTTAGAAAAAAAGTAATAAAAGTATGAAAATAAAAATTTGTCATTCTCCTGCCTATCTTTCAGTTGACATTTGATGAAATTTTGAGGCGAAAACATTTTATATGTAAAGTTTTAGTTAAAAATGTTTTAGTTTTTTGTTTTTGAGACTTTTGCTTTATTCTCAGATCCTCTTCTCTCACCATTATACATACAACAATTATAATAATAATGATAATAATAATAATAAGAATAATTGTCATTACATTCATCATTATATAGATGACAAGAATTTTATTTTTTGCATATAGATATATTTTAAATAACTATTCAATTTCATAAGTGGAAAATGGTGATTAACAAATAGAAATAAAATTTGATTGAAAGAATTTATTTCTACATCATTATTAGAAGATTAATCATCTGTAATGCTCAAATATTATTTATGTATTCTTATAGAAAAATAGTAGCACATTGAAATAATGTTTTTGCTCTGCGAAAATCTTCTCATGTTGCATAACTTTCGATATTTCTATTCATGTATTTAAATTTATTAAATAAGAAATTATATTTTTATTAAGATTAACATTTCGAGTTAAGACATTAGTCTTTTGTTGAGGTTGGTTCTTTAGTGTATACTTGTAAATATCTTAAAATCAGAAATAATTCTTCAGCTGCCACCGCAACACGATTCGCAATTAAGTGTAAATAAATGAGAACGCTGATAATAAGGAATCATCTTTTTCATATTCGCATCATCGTCGATTCTTTTGACAGGCCATCGACTTCATCCATATCTAGTTCGTCTCCATTCGATTGCAGATTTCTTCTTTCTTTTTCTGAACATTCATCAGCTCATCATTGAGATTCTTGCACAGTTGCATCAAAACGAAATTCTGATTTTTAAGATGCTTAAGAACGTCCTGATCTGAAGTATTTCGTAATCGAATTTGTCGTAAATTATCACTGATTTCTAGAACCTCCTTTTCATATTCTTGGGTTTTAGACTGCTCATTAGCTGATAATGCGTTAGATGTTGGCGATTGAGAATTTCGCGATTTCGATGGCTTTCGATAGACTTCAAAAGCACTCGAACGATGAGTTCCACTTTGTGTTGAACTTAATAAAGTGCTGGTAAGATTTGACCGTGGCTGCAGTACCGGAGGTGGATTAGATTCCAAACGAATTGTCGTCACAAACTCCCCAGGTTGCTAAAGTTTTAAAGATTACATTTAGTTGCAAAAGAAAAAACAATTAAACTTACTTTCTCTTCTGGAAATTGAGTAAAATCAGCAAAAGATTCATCGGTTCGTCTGGAAGCCTCAAGATACGCGTCAACTGATGACATTTTGAAATTTTTATCAGATATTCGAGGTGGTGGGATTTCAGGTGGTTGAGCTGATTTCTCTTTTTTCTCATGTGATTCATTGTTTACTAACTTTATTCGCTGAAGATCTAAGCTGCTGCTTCTTGTGTGTCGATGTGGTCTGAGAAAAGAGAAACATTAGAAGATTTACAGTTTTGGGAATTAAAATTTACCTTGGTGGTGGCAATGGCGGAATTTCTTTCTTAGCAGTAAGAACAATAATGTTGGAATTATTTCCTGTATTTGTTGTAATATTATTGCTGCTTATGTTGCTTGTATGATTATTATTGTTGTTGTGATTTATTTCTGGTGGTAATGGAATCGCTCCTACCATCTTCGAAGCTGGTTTCTTTGGATGTGGTCGTTGAATAGCTCTCAAGTCATTGGGAAGTGATTCACGTTGATTGGCATATGACGATTGTTTTTTGAAATTATTTTGTTTCGGTGAGACGCTTTCACGATCATTTGCAGCAAGAGAAGCTACAGCTTTAATGACACCACTTTCAAATACTAAACTATCTGCTTTTCGGAATGTTTTCTGGGCATCATCATCAACAATTTCAGTGCCCACTGGCGTAACACGCAATGGAACTGGATGAATAACATGCGAGGGATCAATAATATTTGTTGTGACATTCACTGGCTTTGGGCCAGGACTTGAAACGTTTGATGTCGGTGATTCAGTAAACTTTGTCCACTCTTTGTTAGCAGTATGAGAGTCACCAGGACCATCAGCAGTAACTGTCTGTGATGGAGGAGAGTTGGAACTGGAATGATTCGTTCCTATCACATTATTAAGTTTTAAGCTGTTGTTGTTGTTAACATTATTATTGACACATGATAAACTTTCATCGTCACCTGCGCCACGTTGATGTTGCGAATAATGATTTTTTGGCAATGTTGAAGATTTATTGATGATAGAATTTGATTTCTCACTCGATCGAAACTCTTCATATGTTGATGACACCATTCGCTGATAGTCATTCTTATTTGCATTAGATGTTGACTGATTTTTACTTGAATCCTGATTGTCATCACTTTCAAGATGCAAAAGATCAGCTTCGGCCGATGGCTCTTGGTGTGGTAAACCCAAACATTTATAAAGATAATCTGGTTGAAGACAAATCGGTAAAGTTGATGGTATTGGGATGTTGTTTCTTCTTAAAACAACCAAATGCATTGCTGCTGTGAATTCACCCAAATCTAAAGCACCATCACGACTCACGTCACATAATTGCCAAATGTGACGCAACTCTTCAACTGGTATACGAGATTTTTCGAAAAATACTCTTGCAACCACACCAGACAAAAGCCCTTTGATGTCGGGTTGAACTGTTCGAAACTGTTTTAGGTAATAATCTTTTTGTTCAGGTGTGATTTGATAAAGCGCGTCAAGATCTAAATCGTCTTCATCTTCATCACTGGTGTGTTTATCGGATGATTCTTCTTCTGTGCCGAGAAGTTGTCGCTGCTCTTCACAAAGTAATCCTTGCCAACTTTGTGAGTTCATGGCCCAGGGACGTTCGGCTACAGAATTGTGAGCAGTATTTGTAGGAGTTGGACTTTCACTGGCGGTACTCCATGTTTCAGGAGAGCCGTCTCTTTTATTCTTTTTAATCAACGTTACTCCAGCTCCCGATCTTCGACGAACTGGCAGTTCACGTTCATTATCCGTCTGTTCAATTTCTGAATCTGTTGATGGCAGATCTGAATTCAAATTTCTTTCCACCTCGAGATGATGAGATTCTTTTGTTGTAAGTTCAATCAAATCTGGGCTTTGAGGTAGAGTAATTCCATTTTGTTCCGATTTCAGAGTTGCTGATACTATTTGAGGTGGCGGTTCGAGCTCTAAATTCCAGCTGAACTTAGGCAAAGGTATTTGAACAGTGGTGGATGTTAAAATTTCTTCACGTAGTGGAATCATAGCTTGATGTGCGCCAATAAGTTTGAGGCATGAATAAAATTGTGTGCGACTAAGATAAATAACTGTTGGAAATACTCCAGCAAGTTGATAGATCTGAAATTTCGAAAATTTAATTAAATTCCAAGAAGAAACCATATATTGTGTAAATATTCTTTTAATGCGGAGGGAAGTGGTCAAAATTAATTGAATTTATGAGATATATCTATTCTATATTGCAGAATAAATCCGAATAAAAAATTACAAAAAGATCCAGCGACGATTCGACCTTCCCCTCAAAAAAAACTTCTCAATTTAATCGTGATTCATAGATTTTAAATAGATTGTTTGCATACATATAATAATATACATTAGATGATACTAATTTTTTATTATTTTTACATATCTCATCGTAATTAAATTGTTACGTACCTGCGACAATATCGAGTTATCAACATTTGATGAACGAAAGAATTCTGTGGCCTTTAAAAATTCGATTTTCCCTATTTTCTCAACATCACACAATGTAAACAAATCGTTATAGTAACGATTCTCTGACTCACTCAAATTTATGTTCATTATCAAAATTGAATGGATACTATAGAGACTCGATTAAAGAAATAATATTATTTTCACTTAAATTTCAAAATAATTTAGTATAGCTTTTCACCCCTTTGAATTGCAAAATTTCAAAACCTTACCAATGACCGTTAATTTTTTTTCACTAAAAGCAAACTTGTTTTAGTAGTTTTACAATAAGTTCATTCTTTTATTTCTTTCATTGGAAACTACTCAATGAATGAGTAGGCGAAGTAAGATTTCTACACGTTTATTATTATTATTTTAATTTTAATCAATTTTCAAAGACAAAAAGAGACCTTTTTGATATAATTTTCTCAATTTTTGAAGAGAAACAAAATAAAAAAAAGTAAAATACAAAAGAATATAAGATACAATTGCACGTTTCCCCACATTTTCCTTTTTTGATTAAAGAGAACATAATGAGGGAAACGATTAAAACATTTTTAAGATTAACCAAAATGGAAGCTAAATGAATTTCCACCACCAAAACCACCGCCGGTGTCGGTATTGAAACTGAAAAATTGGCGGAACATCTGGTTAGGATCAAATTCTGTGGAAAAGAGTAAAAATGACATATAAATCAGAGATGAACTTAAATTTTAGAATAATATACAACTTACCAGGCATTTCCATTTCCTCAAGATCTTGTCCATTATCATAGCGACTTTTCTTCACTGGATCTGAAAGAATTGTGTAAGCTTCACCAACTTCTTTAAACTTTTTCTCTTCTTCTTTCTTTTCTTCTTCGGTGGCATTTGCATGTCGATCAGGATGGTGAATCAAGGCTGTTATAATTATAATATGACACATAAGGACCATCATTCTTAATTCCTTAATTAAAACATTTACCTCTCTTTCGATAAGCTTTTTTAATTTCATCTTCGGTCGCTGATTTTGTTATTCCCAATATCTTGTAATAGTCTTTGCGTTTTGACTTCTTCAGTTGAAGTTTTGCATCCTTAAGTGCATTTTTTGTCTCAATTGATTTGTCCATTTTAAGCGCAGCCTCGTAATCTTTAACTGACTCTTCAAAATTTTCCATATCGTACTGACATCTTGCACGCTTCAATAAAGCTTTCACATATTTCTCATTGATTTTAAGGGCAGCACTACAATCATTGATGGCATCCCTCAAATTCCCAAGCTGATTAAGAAATAAAATCAAATATCATGAAATGAGAAATGAAAAAGAAATTTACCTTTGTATTAACGAGAGCTCGATTATAGTACAATTTACTGTTGATTTCCTTGTTCAGTGAATCAATAGAAAGCGCATCCGAATAAATAACCAGAGCTTCACGATATTTTCCGGTTTTAAAACATTCATTTCCTTGCTCCTTTTTTTCCTTTAAATTTCGCGATTTCAAACGCATAATTTTTGCTTTTTTATGATCAGGATCTAGTTGAAGTGTTCGCTCAAAATGAAGAATTCCTTTCTCAAGATTATCACTGTAATAAAGTGTCAAACCGCGAACATATATAGCATCGCAATTGTTCGAATCAATCTTCATTATTCCAATGGCAATGTCATTGGCTTCGTCCATTCGACCCAAAAGGGCCAAACACTCAGCTTTAAGTAGTTTATAACGTTGACTTGCTTGAGCGGTTTTCAATGCAGAATCAATATGGAAGAGACAAGTGCGATAATCCTGCTTTTCGTAGCACTGGCTTGCTTTGTCCTCGTGAATTCTTAATTGTCGAAGGTTTTGAATTTCACTTTTCAGTACAGTGTTTTTCGGATCGATTTCGAGGAATCTTTTGATAGTCTGCTCTGTTTGCGTCAAATCTCCCAACAATAAACAGCACTTAGCAACCCGTAAATATCCTTTCTCGAATGTAGGATCGATCTGAATGCTCTTCCTTGCATCGTTCAATGCTTCTCGGTAATTTGCAAGCATCATATGACAAGCTGAACGATTTCCAAGATAACTTGGATTATCCGGACATAAATTGACTGCATCTGAATAGTATTTGAGTGCTGCATGATAATTTTGAGCCTTGTATTCTGCATTTCCTGTGTTTTTCCTCTCTTCTGCGATACTGAAAATTGAATCACAATAAAAAGAAATTGGTAACCGCAATTTAATTAAATTCACAAATTGAAAGATCTTTTTCATACGTCTGGTTTTCCAACATTTTAAGAAACTATATATTCGTGAAAAGTCACAGGAAATGAAGCAGAATTTCAAAAGACACTGAATCAAAAGACTTTTTCTAGAAAGTATTCTGGAACAACTTTTAATGGTATGAGTGATGATGTTAGAGGGGTATGGAAATTTTGGTTTTATATTTTTGAGGCCTAACAAAAAAGCAAAAACTTTCCATACTTTGAACCTATAAAGTTTTTAAAATGTCAATTATAATAATTAAGGAATGTAAAGCAGGTAATGTTAGCATGAGAAAGGTCATCAAAGAATAAAAATTAGAATTTGGAACTTTTCACCCACCTTAAAGAGTTGTACCCCCTTGTATGAATTTTCAAATTAAAGTTTTAATTATTTTCTTTCACAAAGTTTTAATTCCCTTAAAGATTGGAAATACCATTGACTTCAATCAAATACTTTATCACAAATATAAAGTACACAATTAAAAGCATAGTGCCTTGGATTTAAGTGTTTTTGTTTAAAGAAATCACTATTTTCCAAACATGGAGAATTTCTAAGTACGTAAGTTTGCTCTCATTTGATTTTTCTGCTTCAAACTTCTACATAAAATGTCTGTTTCACACTTGTCATGTCATTATTTCAATTTAATGGTTACTATTTTAAATTGAGTCTACATAACCTCACTGGTGATGGAAATCTAAATATGAGGTTGAATTTCTTCAATTGAAGCCGCCGCCATGATGGATGAGGCGCTTTATTAGAATTAAAAAAAAATAACGATGAAAATACAATGACAGATCATTAATGTCTCGAAATATTTTTTCAGATAACGAAAACTTTATTTCTTGCCAACTATTACTTTTCAGTTATCAAGAATAAACGAAATAATTATAAACAAAAAAAAATGGATCACAACTTTATTTTGTGGGAACAAAGCGATGAACCCAATTATGACGAAATAATTGAGAACGAAAATGACATCGAGGAATTAAATGATATAATGGAAGAACAAGTTGAAGGGTATGAAGAAGTGAATATGTTAGAAGAGACATCGGAGACCGATGAAGCTTATTATATCGATGAAGGGATGATTTCAGTTCCACAAGAAAATTTAATTTATCTTGACGACAGCATTGTTAATGGAACATCTCGAATTGGGGTTGGTATGAGTCACTTGATTGAACAGAGAGTTGAGGAAGCGGAAAATAAAATCATTGGTGATCAGGACGATCAAGAATACACAGCAACAGTCGAGGAAGTAATCACCGAAGAATGGCCACTGGAAGGCGAAGACATGGTTCAAGTTGCGATGGAACAAGTTGTCACTTCTGATAATTTTCAAGAAGACGACATTGAGACTGTCCCATTGCATACTGATCAAGATGAGTACACGACATCAAGACCATATCCTTGTGATTTTTGCAGTCGACGCTTTCGTAAAAAAGCAAATCTCATGAATCATATGGTGGCACATCAGAATGTTCGTCCACACATGTGTAATCTATGTGGATCACGTTACGTTCGAAAATGTGATCTTATAAATCATTTAAAAATTCATGCGTACAATATCGAAGACGAATCATCAGGACCAAGTACAGGTGGCAAGAAGAAACCACCAAAATTCGATGAACTTAATTTTCTTGGTAAATTTAATTTGTCTTTTGAAAAAAACTTTATTCTCATAAATTTCCTTTATTTAGATGAAAGTTTCGATGATCTTCCCGACGACAATGACTTTGATTATAATCATTATTCAAAACCAACATCAACAACTGTTCAAATGCAGCAATCAAAAGCATCAAAAATGAGTGCAAAAAAGAAAGTAGGAAAGAAAACGACGACAAATAAATCAACAGCAATGAAGTTTGAGAAGTTGTCGAAGAAGAAAGAACTTTCAAAGGAAGTTAATATAACAATTGAAGACATTGAAAACAATAAAATTGAGCAGCAGGATAATATGCAACAACAGTTATGTAATGAATATGTTGAGAAATATCCTATTACAGATCCAAGAAAGCCATTTGTATGTCAACACTGCGGTGTTGCATTTACAAGAGAAAAAGCACTCGAGTCACATACAAAACTTCATGCAACGCAAGAGTCAACATTTGATTGTGAAGTTTGTGGTGATTCATTTTATGACGGAACATCCTTAGAAGAACATTTAGAATTTCGTCACGATTATTCTTCTCGTGTTCGTCGAACGGGAGGGAAGTCAGGTTCAAGTAAGACAACATCACATACAGCCAAAGTATTGGAGACAATGGACTTTGATGATAGCAACTCGGAATATGATCCCGACAAGAACAATGAAGACGATTTGGATGATGAAGATGATGAGGACGAGGATGCTGGTCATTTATGTGACAAATGTCATATGGCATTCAAAAACGCTGACGCACTTAAAAAACATATTCGAACGCATTTCTTGAAGTCTGAAGTGCTGACAGATGAAGAAGGTAATCGACCATTAACAACAGATGGAACATCTCTCGGTTGCAATGTTTGTGGTGAAAGTTTTACTGAAGCACTTGATCTTCTTGCTCATGCTGAAATTCATGCACGCTTTCAACCGTTTAAATGTCAATTGTGTGGTGATACATTCTTTGAAGAAAACAAAATTAAAATTCATTTAATGGATAATCATCAGAATGAATTAACAGAATCATCTTGTCGTTTATGTGGAAAACAATGTCGCGATCAACGTTCACTTATCAAACATTCGTGGGAACACTCAAGAGAAAAAAATCATCCTTGTTCGAAATGTGGCAAAACGTTTCATAACAAAGCAAGATTAAAGCGCCACATCTCAAGCCATCGTAATAAAAGTGTTATTTGTGAGATTTGTCATGAAGAGTTTCCCGATGGACGTCAGCTGATGAATCATCGACACTCGCATACAAAAGCTAATCAATTTCCCTGTCATGAATGTGGAAAAACGTTTGGGTCGCGAAGTTCACAACAAATTCATATTCGGTAAGGTTTAACATCAAAAATTTGAATAACTTTTTACAGAATTTGTTTTTACAGAATTCACACGGGTGAACGTCCATATGGATGTCGATTTTGTTGGAAAGCATTCGCTGATGGTGGCACATTACGTAAACATGAAAGAATTCATACAGGTAAGTGTTGAACTAAAAAAATGAAAAAAGTGTTTGACATTTAAAGTTTTAGGAGAAAAACCGTATTGCTGTCTTGTATGTCCTCGTGCATTTAACCAGCGTGTTGTGTTGAGAGAACATATTCGTTCACATCATTCAGCACCCGATCCAGTTAATGGAACAACTCTTACACCTTACTTTTGTTCATTGTGCGGTGATTTGTTTGCTGTTTCATTGGATTTGATTCATCATTTGATCGAGCACAGTGATCGAAGCACAGCAGCTAAGAGAGTTCAACCAGCTGGTCCGAGAAAATACAAGAGAAGGAGAAAGTTGAATGGTGATAGTGACAATAGTGAGAATGTCACGAATGTTGAATCGAAAATGAATTTTCAACGTCCGTTGAAGAACACAATTACAAAGCAAACAAATGAAAGTGATTTGAAGAATAATTTGTTATCAGCTTTTCCAATTTCGAAAGATGTCAACAAGTTTGATGAGTTCAAGTTGCCAGATGAAATTTTTCAAGCTGTTGGACAGAAAATTCCTTCGACAATTGGAAAGAAAGACGTGGGCGGTATGAAGCAAAACTTAAGAGCATCAACTTCTGCAGGTTCAAGACCAAGAATGATTTACACACAAAAGACAAAACTTACTGCAACTGACGGGAAGCGAAAGAAGAAAGGAATGATTCAAAAACAGGTTTTACAACCGAAAATGAAACCAATTCGCGCAAGTCGTCAAGTAAAACAAGAAAAATTGGACGAAGAAACATTCGAACATGATGAATCGAGTGAAACTTGGTCGAATGATGATCCAAATGAAGACGTTCTCGATACTTTGCTTAAGAGAGAAAGAAAATTATCGGAAAAGTTCACAATTGATTTAGTCAACGATTTGCAAGAAATTTTAAGATCGCCACTGAAATTAAGTGAAGACAAGCATCAGTCAATGGTTGAAGAAGATGAAGACAAAACATTCGCAACTAATCGAAGATCATGTCGTCAAGTGAAGTCTCGTTATGGGTCAGCAGTACGGAAGCATCCGATGAAAAATACAAACAAAAGGAGAATTTCGTCGCCATCTGAGACGTCAGAGGATGAAAATGACGATGACATGGAAAAATATTTCATCAAGCAAGAATTACCAGACGAAAGCATTTCTTGTGGCATTTGCGGGGATTCATTCATGACACAAACTCAACTCCTTAACCATGTATCGATTCATATATAGATTTAAATAAGTACCGATTCAAAAATAGTCTTTTGAGTTTATTTTTTTTGATTTCCTTTAACTATTAAAATACTTTAAGAACTTTCTTTTCAACTTCTCTTTTGCATTCGTAAACGATTCAATTTTATTGTTTAGTCAACGATTCAATTTTTTTTTCTTTTCATTGTTATCACGAGATTAGTTCAAATTAATTGAAATTCTTCTTATTTCTTTTCGCTACATTGATCTAGATACTTTAACATAATGAATTTTTGTAATGGTTATTTTGAAATGAATCAAAACTATTCAAGTAAATATTAAATTTTCTCTTTGTCAGCCTTTTCCTTTTTTAAATAAAAGTTAAATATAAAACATTACCTACATTTAAATAATTTTGTTGTTAAATGAGGATGTGTTAAATCTCTTCAATTATAATGAAAAAATAAAATTCTACTTCTAATGCTTTAAAAAGTTGAAAATTTGTGAGATTTTTTCAGTTTGCTTTGTTGGTTATGAACATAAGCGAAAGATCTTGAAGAATCTTAACCTTTTGCCACCCACATTATATTTTGTGTACTATAGAAATGTTAAGGTAATTGGTTTCGTTCATGTCAGCTTGCTCGTCATATAATAAATAAGAATGATTCATTGATCTGTTTCCGAATTAGGAGAATTTATAACGGTTCGTTCTTATTAATGTTATTCAATGTCGTACAAATTATTCTTTTTGGAACGACTGTTTTCGGATTAAATAGTTATAGTTTCAATGTATGCTTAATGTAATTGATTCAAGTCGGTGACCCAATTAACAGTTTTTGGGTTGAATGGAGTGGAACAACACGAGAAGGAAATCGATTATTTTCTAACCAAAAACTATAACTTTCTTAATTAAAAGAATGGTTTCAGAAATGGGAAGAAGAGCATTGATTTACTTACATCTGATTGCTTGGGTTTATAACATCCTCAGTTATGTTATCAACATCCATTTCAGTTTGTTTTTGTTGATTCTCTTCAGTTGGTTTTTCTACTTCTTCCTTTGATGGCTCTTTAACTAAAACGACTTTCTTCGGTGGAACTTCAATGACTGCTGCGGGTGGTTTTCTTAAAACACTACTATCTTTCGATGGCAATATATCAGACTTTTTTGTTGCCATGAAAGAAAATAAAATTCTAGAACCGAGAAGAACGAGAAGAAATCCCTTTTTGAAATTTTTATACGCTTGTTACCCCTCGCATTTTTCGAAAGACTTTTCACCCCCTTGATGGGTACATTACCTCACTGAAGTTTTATTTACCGACAAACAAAATAACATAAATTCAAAATAAAAAGTGAAGAAGGATTATTAAGCTTTCAAATTAATCACATCTTATCTACAAGATGGTAAGACAAAATATTAATTATAAATTAAGATCAATAGAATTGCTCAGAATAAGAAAAAAAAATAAATTTAAAAAAACCACGTTTTTCATTTCCATCTCAAAAAATTTTTAGGCATCGCTGTATGTTTTGTATGAACATGCATCAGGTTATGCTTTGTTCAAGGTAAAAGAATTTGAAGAAGTTGAAATGCTGCTTCCTCAAGTGGAACAATCATTATCGGAAGTTTCCAAATTTAAATCTATTGTAAACCTCGCTGGATTTTCTCCATTCAAAACTGCAATATCAGCGCTCGAGAATGTTAATGCTATTTCCGAAGGAATATTACCAGAAGAGTTATCTGCATTCATTGATAGTACACTTCCTAAAGTATCGAAGAAAAGCAAATTAACACTCGGTGTTGCGGATTCAAAACTTGGAGCGGCGATCGCAGAAACTTTAAACATCCAATGCTCGCATATTGGACCCGTCCCTGAGATAATCAGAGGTGTTCGTATGCATTTCCCTAATCTTGTGAAAGGATTCACAATGAAAAGTGCTGGCATCGCTCAACTTGGCTTAGGTCACTCCTATTCAAGAGCTAAAGTAAAGTTCAACGTTCACAGATCAGACAACATGATAATTCAATCGATTGCACTTCTCGATCAACTCGATAAAGACATCAACACATTTTCTATGCGTATTCGTGAGTGGTATTCTTATCACTTCCCAGAATTGGTCAAAATTGTTCCTGACAATTACATGTACGCAAAAGTCGCTCATCACATCAAAGACCGCAAAAGTCTTTCCGATGACAGCATTCCGGAATTGGAGGAGATTCTAATGGATTCAAGCAAAGCAGCAGCAATTGTAAATGCTTCAAAAATGTCAATGGGAATGGACATATCCGAAATCGACTTAATGAACATTGAAATGTTTGCAAAACGTGTCGTTAAGTTGTCGGAATATCGAAAGCAGTTGTCAGAATATCTTCATTCAAAAATGAATAGCGTGGCTCCGAATTTGCAATCTTTGATAGGTGATCAAGTTGGAGCTCGTTTAATCTCTAAAGCTGGTAGTTTAACGAACTTGGCGAAATATCCCGCATCAACAGTTCAAATTCTAGGTGCTGAAAAGGCACTTTTTAGAGCATTAAAGACACGAAGCAACACACCAAAATATGGTTTACTCTTCCACTCATCATTCATTGCAAGAGCAGGAGCTAAAAATAAGGGACGCATTTCGAGATTCTTAGCTAATAAATGCTCGGTTGCTTCAAGGATTGATTGCTTTGCTGGTAAGTAACTTTATCTTCTTATTTATTCCTTTTTATAAATTTCTTCTCAATAGAAACTCCTTCGAATGTCTTTGGTGACTTCTTGAAGAAGCAAGTTGAAGATCGATTGAAATTTTATGAATCTGGAGAGGCACCACGAAAGAACATTGACGTAATGAAGGAAGCCATTGAAGTTGCAAATTCACAGCAACAGGAACAGGGAGAAAAGAAAAAGAAGAAGAAAAATAAGAAACGAAAGGCAGAAGACGATCAGGAAGATGCAAATGGAGCTGAAATGGATGAGTCAGTCGAGAATAGCAAGCCGAAAAAGAAAAAGGATAAAAAATCGAAACAGAATGGTGATGCTGATGAAACTTTAGAGACATCGCAGATGGATGTTTCTAACAGCAATGAAAATGGAAATGCTGAAGGTAAAAAGAAGAAAAAAACGAAGAATCAAACTTCTGACGAATGAGAATAATTTTTCTATTTTCCTCTTACATAATTAGACTTCCCTTAAGTTTTGACATTTTAAAAGAAGCGAAAAAGAAATAAATAAAATATTTTCAAATATTTGCAAACTTTTTTATTGGTTTTTCTCGTTTTTTTTTCAAAATATAACATTTTTGTTGCTTGATAATCTTTCCTTCATTCTATTTATCATCAGTAATGTTGATTTACAGAACTACAAAGAGACTTATCATCTTATTACAATCATTAATACATACATATATCAAGTTATTCTCAATCAAATTGTTGGAAATGTAATTATAATTTTGAATGAAAGTTTTCTTGTAAAGATTTTTTGGGTGATGATCTTAATTTTTAATTAGATAAAACTTTTGCCACCCGATTTTTAGATCACTTCTTTGCTTCAACCAATAATTTTATATTTAAGTGAGGAACGATTAGTGAAAAATGAGGGAATTAAATAGAAACGTCGTGGAACATTTTCAATGATATTTCCAAAGATATTTCCACATTTTCCTTTCAGTTTAATATTTAAACACTTCCCTTTAAGTTAAAACAATTTAGAAAAATTTGTTTTGTTTCAAAATTTGACCTAGTAGGTAATTTACAGTCAGCTGTACTAAAAGTGCGCTTTATTGACAGCAAGTTTAGTGGTACGGCTGACGGCAAACTACATAAAACTAATTTTATTATTAAATTTGGTTGCTTTAAAACGAAAAATCCAATTTGCTTGCAAATTTAGATACAGCTAACTGTTAAAGATAAGTCTAATAACGAGATAACGTCAAGTAGGGTATTTACCTAAATCGCACCATCAAGATTTTTGCAAAATTCCCCAATTTAAGAAAACAGCATTTTCTGAATGTTTAATGTATTATGAAGTATATTTAAAGAATCTTTTTTCCAGCACCAAAGAGGATTTTAATAACTTTTAACACTTATTTTGTTTTCCTTTCAAACTCATGGAAATTTCCATTAAAGTTACTTTCACTGTTTGACACGATTCGCCAAAATATAACATAAAATTGTTAGTTAGTTAAAATCGTTTTTATTTGAGCCTGATGCCATCTTCAGAAAAGATATCAGGAGGATGCGAAACAGTCATCAACACAACTCAATTTCCGTACAGTTTTCGTCTATAAAGTTATCAACGTTGGAATAAAATAATAAATGGAATGTAAATTTTCCTTAAATTGTTATTTCAATTTAAATACTGATACCTAACAATGGAAACGATAAAAGATATATTAAATGCTCAGAAGTAGATAAATATAATATCTTAAGTCGACAACAAAAATATAATGAACGTGGAAATTAGAAAAAAATGCTAAAAAGATTTTTGATTATTTCATATGATCATTAATTATCTAACTTTTCTGAGACTTGTGTGCAAAGTACAGCATTCACTTCAGACTTTAGAAAACCAAGGCGAATCGAAAAAAAATTTAGAATGAAATTATTGCGAAATTTGGCGTCTTAAATCTAATTCACTAAATATCATTGAAATGCATTAAATTGATTGAAATTGTTGTTAACATTATTGTTATTATTATTAGCTTGGCTGATCATAGAATTGACATTTGCTTTTGGTAAAGTCATTCCTATTGATGACGTCGGTGCCTTCACCGGACTTGTGTTGGCGCTTTTTAGTTGATTCATCGACGGCGCAGGGCCTTTTGTCGATTTCTTTCCAATTAAGTTATCAAAATCAATATTAATATTGCCAGCATCACTCCACGTCGATCCAACTGATATCATTGATTTTTTGGTTGCTTCAATCGGTGCATCGTTGCTTGAAGAATTATTGTTGTTTGAGGCTGATGATGGAAGAAGAATATCGTCAACTAGATGGTAATAAAAAGAATGAAGGAATTATTAAAATAAAATGAATAAAAGAAATTCACTACGAAATTTATTTCAGAATTCGAATTTCACATTCTAAAGAAGTCAAAAAAATTGAAAAGAAGCGAATTTATGAAGTAAGATCAAGAAATTTACTTTATTTTAATTTTCTCCATACAGAAAAACTTTTTATTCTTGTCAAAACAAAACTTGAAACATTCCAAGAAGTTGAGCTGCAAATTTTCTGCATTCTTCATCAGGTTCATAGCTAACAAAAGGACTTCTGACTATCTTCGATAAATGGTTGCAAAATTCTTCAATTTCCTGAGTAAATTCATTGATCAGAATAGTTTGTGGAAGAGCAAGAAAAACTGTCGCCATCAAATGAAAGACTGAGAGACGAATTCTTGATTCTTCGTGGTAACGCAAAAAAACGCTTAATTGAATAATTTCCTTCGCAATCTTTGGAGCATTTGGAGAGTTTTCAGCACAAAGCATAAACACAGCAATCGTGTCAAGAAATTTCATGAGAAGTAAATTTTCCGTGTCGTTTCCAAGACTTGTTCCAATTTTAAAAGTCATTTGTTTCCTTCCAAATCCAAACATCAAAGGAAAGAAAAACCAACCAGCAATGTCAGAAAAACGATTCGTTCCCGAATTATTTTCTGGATGTTTAGTTTGTGTTGCAAACCTTCTTGATTTTATCAGCAGACGTTCACGAATTATATTTCGATGATCTTTACGTCTCCATTTGTCAATCTCTTTATCTAACTTGATGAATAATTTATTTTTTGTAGTAACAAATTTTGGTTTCGTCGTTTCGTTGTTACTTTTATTTTCATTGTGAAGGTTTGACAGTTGCTTAGCAGTCTCAGCGAGAATTTCCAGCATAATCATTCGCTTATTAATTGAATATTTTGTCGTTTCTTCATTAAATTGTTCACAAAGGTATAAAGCACATTCTTTCGGATAAACTGAACAAACTGCAATTAAAATTTTCATCTTTAGTTCATCGAAATTTTCCATGCAACTAACTTTATCTAAACTTATGAATATTCTTAATAAATCAATTGCAATATCGGAATGATGACGTGAAAGTTGATGTTTTACAATACGTTCAGCTTCATTCATTGCGAATTCAAACTTTTCACTGTCTTCAAGATTTTCCTTTGTTGTGAATGCTTGAATGAGATCCAATAAATATCTCGGATTTTTATCAATGTTGCTTGGTAGATTATAAGATTCATTGTATGACTCAAAATAATTATCGTCATCATCATCAGAGTCAAGAATAGTTTGAATATCTCCCGGTTTTTCGATAGGTTCTTGAAGTGAAAGTGAACATTCATTAGTTTCACTTTTTGGTTCGTTTTGCTTATCTTCTGGATGCTTTTTGATTGCTGAATCTCGATTTCCAATGACTGAATAAATTTGATCGAGAATATCTTTCAAGTTTTCAGTTTCGTTCTCTGAAGACTTCAAATTTTCTAACTTCTCAATTCTATCGGGAAGAACTTTTATAATTTCAATGATTTCATCTGAGATTTGTTTCGAGAAATGAACATAATCAAATTTCAGATTGTCATCGGCACTCAAACTTTTATCGAGAATTCCAAGAATCACCTCCGATGTTATCATACCCAACGCCTGAATTTTTAAATCAGTTGATTCGATATGAACTTTCATTCCATTGAAGAGAAGAATTTTAATATTTTCTTTAATGCTTTCCATGCTTTTGTTGCTATACGAGATCAACATGACGATGATTTTAGTTATGTAAAAATGTTGAGCAAAAGAAGCATCTAAAACGTGAGATTTTGAACTCCAAATCGAAAGCATTGATGAAAGTAATTCTCTTGTTGTTTGTTTATCCTCACTTGTGATAAAAAAAGAAAAGTTTTCAATAAATTTTTCATCATCTTCGTTAAAAACGTTCTTGAAGCTGGTTAAAGGAATTTTCTTTGTTAGCACAAATTTCCAATCGTTCGAGCTCTTCCAGAAGTCACCAAATGACCAAATTAGTCGTTGTTTTTTATTTTCGTATGTAAATGCATGATTTATGATAATTTCAATTGCTGGTCGATGAAGTTTTTCATAAAGTTTGCGAATATTTTTGCGATAAATTTGCTGTTCACTAAACACTCCCAAAAGTTTTGTTGCTAAACTCAAAACAGTTTTTTGATTGTTAAAATTCACATAAACTCTGCTTATCAACTTTGATAAGAAATCTGTTGTGTAAACATCCAAGTTTTCAGCATGGTTGATTTTAGAAATGATGCAAAACGACTTCATTGCATTGACGAGAAGAATTGCACAGAAACTGTTCAGTTCAAAAGTTTGTGGAAAATTCTTTTTCCATTTATTTGCGATCTGTTCAGGAATGTTCACGAGTTGTGTAAGAAAATGATCGCATCGATGATTATCGTTGATCATCTCATGATGTGACAACCGAACAAATGCAAAGGCGAGAAAATTATCATCCAAGAGAAGTTGCTCTACAAGTTGTGTGGTCATCTCTGGACACTTGAAGAGAAGTTGTCGGTCGATTAAAACGTTGAAGGTTTCAAGAATGAAGTTTTGATTATCAGTAATTTTTATAAGTTTTATAATCCCTTCTGGTATGTCATCATCAAAGCTTTGCGAATATCCAAACTTCGTCACCAATTCCATTAGCAAATTTGGATAATAAACGCTTGCAAAATCTTCTAATTCACTGCAATGACACTCCATCAATTCACAAATGTTAAAACATCCACAAGGCAGCAAATCTACAAGGTTATTCACTTTCTTTAAAAACATTTCGCGTTGTTGTGTTGTTCCAATTTTACAACAGTTTTCAAACAATTTAATGAGCTCCAAAATGTTTTTGTTAGTCTTCATAATGTTTGATGATGTTGCTGAAAAGGAAGTAGACACAATGCCTAGTCGGAACATGTTTTAAAACTTTTGAAAATTTGATTCTCATCTTATTGTTAACAAATCAAATTAATACGTTTTATGCATGCAGAAGAATTTAAATTAATCTGATAAAAGATAAAATAAATAAAGAAGTTAAACTCACTTTTAGATGTTGTGTTAAGCGTCAAATCACCGAAATCACTCAAAAGATCTTTGTTGACATTGACTACAGGACTAGTAAGTGCGTTAGTGATGACACTGTTACCAAACAAATCTGAACTTCCCAAATTAATATTTGATAATTGCTGATTTGATGCTGTTGGTGGATGATTTATTAAAAAGTTATCAACAGGAGGTAACGAAGATGTTGATTTAGAAAAGGCTGATGAGAAATCAGCAAATAATTCAGAAGCAACAAAATCCCCAAACTCCGCATTTGCTTCCCCAGCACGTGGATCAAAATCATCGATTGGATCCGAGGAAGAAGTCGTCGCAGCTGCTGCTGATGAGCTGAATATGTCTTCGATAATATCATTATTTGTTTTGCCTCCACTTGGAACACTCGAAGTTGTTTCACTTCCGAATAAATCTTCACTATGTGTATTGCGATGGGTTGGAGAATTTATGCCTAAATCATTCGTCTTTCCATAATTAAAAGCAGCTCCCATGTCGATTTTTTTTGGAGCTCTTGATGATGTTGACGTTGATGTTGCGGCTGTTATCGGTTTGACATTTGTTTTTATGTTGATTGTTTTTTTGTTATCGTCATTTTTGAATGTGGGTGCGGATGTGACGACATTGGGACTTCCAGATCGCTCATCGTCGTGATATCGTCTAATGAAATTAAAGATTTTTATAGAAATATTTTTAAGAAATTATTCCAACTAACTTTGCATTGCGATTTCCGCCACCACCTGACTCAGTATCTGAATCTTCTTTCTCTTCACCATAATGATAATCGTATTCTGCATTATCAGAATCTATGAAAAAATATTAGAAAATCAAATTAAAAAGAATCAAATGATTTAAAAGTAAAATTAACTTACATCCACCTTCGGTACGAGAAGATTGAAATCTTTCACGATGGCGCATCTCATCAAGACCTGATCTCATACCCATTCCCATTCCCATTGCTTCGGAGCTCATTCCTATGTACTTATCCTTATTTTTCTTTGCCTTTTTTCTCTCTTCTCGCAATCGATCGTCATCCTGAATAAATTCTATTAAATCGCGTACTTTATGTCGAACATTTATTCCCTGATCCTTTCCATTTTCATCTACAAATGTGTAGTTCTCAAGTGCACGAAGATCGTAAATATGTTCACGTGCACTTGTCACAACACGTTCACTACCATTCTTCACAAGATAACTCAACACAAGAGTCGCCTAGGTCGAAACATTAAATATTTATCATTTCATTTTGTTTATTGATTGGGTTCTATTACCTTATATGTCCTTCTCCAATTTGATTTATTGTCTTGCAACATTCTTCTCCAAAGCATTGACATTACTTCGGGGAAATGTTCGTATGTGAAAGTTGCGTGAGCTAATTCTTGCATAAGTGGACCAGTTGGTCCCCATGGGTCATCGTTTGTTGCTTCACGCACCTTTCCTTCGATTTCAGTATAATTCATAACAACATTAGTTCTGGTATATAAAGACAGAGAAAGAAAAGGTGTTATTAGAATGGGGAAGTCAAATATCAGATCAAGTTTTTATCATTGTAATGATTTTACAACAAGACAGTCTGACAGTAATTCCACGTAATAAGCGCTTGCTACAAAATTCATGTTAATCATTCCAACTTGACATTTTAAGAACAAATTTTTAAAATTAATTTAAAAGCACTTATTCTTCGAACTTACACTTTGTCCGCTATCTCTCGAACTTTCCACATACTGATGAATTTATCCACCATGATTTCGGTTTTTTCAGAACCTTACAGAACTTATAACAAATGATATTTTAATGAACCAAATTTGCCAGCGAGAAAGAGGTTTACACAGAGCCTTCTCGAACTGAATTGCATGGGATTGTGTCTCTGCTAAAATTTAAAATTAAAATGACTGTTATTTTAACACTACTTATAAATTTATTTAAATTAAAAGATTTATTATTTATTATTCAGAAATGCTGTATCTATTTTATTTTAGTATCTAATTAAAGTAATTGTCAATCTAATTGAAAATTCATTTTTCTACTTAAAGAAAAATTGGATGATTTTCGCCGTTTTCGTTGTGAATTTTTCCATTTTCAATTCTCCACTCATACCAAACTTTCACATTATCAACTTTTCTCCAAAGCTCGATGAGAAATTCTCCACCTTTCTTAACCGAAAGAGGAGACGAGAAAGGAAAGAACATTGGATACCATGAGGCCATTCCTTGTATATGAGTTTCAGGTAAAATGCTAATCTCAATCGAGTTATACAATGACGATGTGAAATATCCCGAAAATCCATCGACAATACAATCAAGATTAGCTTCAAAACTTGCAGAAATATAGCGAGAGTTATCAATCAATTCACATTTGTTTGGGTGAATAAATTTAAAAGCTTCTTTTGGCTCATCAATGTAGTAGACAGACGAATGCATGGTGAGCCAAGTCACTTCTGAAGCTTCTTTGTATGGATTTCTTTTTCTGTTATTCATTTCGCGAACTGAAGAAGTGAGTCTTGCACTCATAACTGGACGAATGTATGAAGTCGAATCTTTCGGAATACTAATTCCATCTGACTTAAGCAATTTCTGAGCACCATCCAAGCACTCAGGACTTAGTTCGTTGTCTCCAAACGACCCTAAAAGTTCGGAAACGATGATATCTGCCTTTTCATCTAGTTCAACAGTTCGCATATCTTGTGATAATAATTTAATGTCCTCATTAGGCCACATCTTCTCAAGCATTGGACGAAGTATACAAATAGCATTCGGATTCTTCTCAACTACTAAAATTTTCAATTTGCGTTGCTTGTTTTTCCCAGCATTAACAACAGCTCGAACCAAAGGACCACGACCAGCACCAAGAACAATTACGATTAAATATTTCTTATCTACTTCGCTTCCGGAAATCTTATCAACAATCGCTTCTTCGATAGCTTGCTGATAAAGTTTATATTTTATTGGATCCTTCTCAAATGTCTCGTAAGTATGAGTGTCAAGATTATCGTAAAGTGGTTGCAAGGGATATCTCAGTTGATCTTCGAGTCCCGTGTGTTCGCTAATGATGATTTTTTGTGAAACAATGTAATTGATGTAGTCAGTATACATCTTGAGCTGAAAATCAGCTAAACTTATCGGTTCGATGGCAATAGCACAATTAGTGTATTGCAATAGTTTAATTATAACTGAAAGTGAAAAGTGATTAATTTTCTTAATTGTATTTTTTTAATTTAACTATGAAAATTCACCTTCTTGATGAGATTTTGGAAGGACAGGATAGTTGGATTGGTTTGTTGTAAAGCAAATGCTGGGTACAATAATCATTCCTATCGGTTCGCCCAGCCAACGTCGAATCTCCTCTTCAGAAGGTAAATCACAAGGGATCTCTAAAGCCAGCTTTAATAGAATAGTTTTCATGAAACTAAATATAATTTCTTTAAGCCAAATTAAACTTACTTCTAAATTGGGATCCTTATTTGTAGCGGAATAAAATTTATTCCAAACATTCCATTGATCTGGCCATTTTTCATCTTCATTCTCGATGTCAGAACAATAAGTTGCATTACATCTCTTCTCATCAGTCATGGGAAGTTCTAACAAAATCTTCCCACCATAAAATTCCATAAACCTTTGGCTCATTAAACTTTCAGCTAAAGATTCAGGATCTTGATTTGATAATTTTATCATCATGTTTGGAGTTGTTCCTCTTTCATTACTTTTGACGTAGTTTGAAAAGCAGATATCTTGAACAAAATTAGATTTCTTATCCTCATAAGCATTTTCATTTACTGATAGATTTCTAGGTTTAATGTAAGGTACAACATTGTGAATCCAATCATTCACATTCAATATCAATGGAGTCCGTGTGGAATTGATTTGATATTTGTAACCAAATTCATTTTGATAATCGCGATAACATTCAGGATTGATGAGAGACGTGATTACAGCTTTAAAACCGGCTTTCTTTGCCTTTTCAATGAGAATCTATAAATATTCATAAAAATGTTTAAACTTCTAATTTTTAATTTCGATTAAAGTCTACTTACACTCATATTATCAGACGCTTCGGTTTTCAGAAATAATATCGGTTTATTACTCATTTCGAATCTATTTATATTTACTTTCTACCTAGAAATGAGAATTAGAAAGAATGAATAGAAATTTCAATACTTCTTTCATATTTAGTATCTATTTAGAAATAGCTTACTTTGATGCTATTTCATATAAACCCACCACTTTAGATACCTATTTGTATTTAATTCGTTTCTCGTTGTTGTGCTCCCTTAAGGACCTATTTTATTTCTGACAGTACATAAATACAGTTCAAATTGTTTACTGTTAAAATGTAATGAATATTTTAAGCCAATTGATAGTTTTAGGCAGAGCTGGGCGTGGATCATCGATATAGAAAAATGGATCAGCGATCCAAATTAGGTCTAAATAGGCCTATTAAAATAAATTTGGATCAACCATTGGGTTTCAGGTTTTGTAGCTCATTCCCAGAGGTTCGACTTAACTTTTAATAGAAACAGAACCGCTATCAGTGACTTTAGAATTTCGAATAAAATTTAGCTTGACTATTGAAAGTCAGGCATACTTTGGAAAGTTATGCGAAAGTTCAAAGTTTCTTAAAGATATTTTTTTTATAAAATATGTAGCTCTGTAGTTGAGCACTTAAATTGTCTAACGTTTGGTTATTTCCCCTAGTTCATTTGACTTACCTAATTAAATTTCACAAGTGAATTGAGCGTAGGATATTTAGCTAGATTATTTGGAATTTTTAAATTCAATTCGTTAACATCCAATTTAAAAATGTAAAGAACGGAATTTGGAGTTCAAACCTTTGTTTCGTACCCCTCTGGATTAAAGTGATTCCACGAAGAATTTTGTTTTTACAACATTTTAAGATAATTTCTTAGTTTAAGGATCGTTGGAGTGTTAAATTACCAACTATATAACATTAAAACTGAGACTCTAGCAAATTTTTAAACCATTCAAGTTCTTAATAGAAAAAACTCAGTGAAAAATAAATTTTTAAAGGATATCTACAAATTGCATAAAAATGGCTCATGAAAATAATATTATCTAGAATAGTGAAAATAGCACAGTGTATGTGCATTAGAAACAACTATGGATCGTCGAAACGGATGCCAAAAAATTCGAATAACAAGTAAAAATGATAAAAAATAGTCACATTGAATAGAATCAAATTGATTTGTGTAAAAATTTTATAATTGCTCTCTTTTTCATTTAGTTCTTGGTGCTAGAAATCTCGCTCGTAGAGATTTATTCAGTAAGTTATTACAAATCTTAACTTCTCACGAAATATTTTAATAAAAGTCGATTATGTTTTATATTGCGAGGTTCCTTTGTGATATCTTAATCACAAGACAATAAATATGAAATAAGATATCACATTCTTTCATCTCTTTCAATCAATTTCCCATTTAATTATTAAGATTACAATAAAAAGTACATAATCTTTACTATTTCAAGCAGTGATATCATCAGTACTCAGTAAAATAAGTGCCCAAAATTATAACATTTTATGTCTAAATCAAACAATAATTAACTATCTCATATCAGACTGAAACTTTCCGTAATTACAGTTCATCAAATTATCAAATTGTCTTTTTCGGGTTATGATTTTTGCGCAATAAATATTTTGCAATAAAAAAAATAGAATCACAAAGAAACGAAAAGCATAATACTTTAAATAATGGAGCAGGAAGTGCACTCAATTGTAAAGACAGAAAAAAATGAATAGCACAAACAGACAGCGTACAACGAAGTAAACAAACTATTACCAAATCGCTCTTCTCTTTATGCTATTATCTTGTTGCTTTCATCAGATAGAAAGTGTATCAGTTAGTTAGCATGTTAAAATATTTTTGTTCTTCACGTCTGTTGCCTCTGATTGAAAAATTATCATTTTTCTTTATTTTGTTGTTACTGAATCGTCTGAGTGTGCGTTAATCACAAGAAATAAAAGCTCATCATAATAGCGACGTTATCATTTCAACAGAATAGTCTTAATAATTGTGAACACAATTTTTTTCATTTCATTAATCAATGTGGGAATTTGATCGGAAGAGAACATTTCTCGTCAAAATATTTATCTGATCGAGTGATGTTTACAAAGATGACAGATATTTATGAATTTCTTTCATCAATTAAAAATTGCAATTTCGAAATATAAAAGTTTCATTGACTTGTAACGTTAGTTCAGTAGAGTTTAGTTAGATATTGCAATGAAAAAGCGAACAGACATTTAAAATTCAACTTTATCACAGGACTTCCGGATCCATTCGCAAAAATTGTTGTTGATGGTGGCCAAACATTCTCAACCGATATCTGTAAAGCAACAGTCGATCCAAAATGGAATTCCTATTACGATATTTTTTTATCACGTGGCGATGGCGTCACAATTTCGGTATGGAATCAAAGAAAAATGCACAAAAACTTAGGAAGTGGATTTTTGGGATGCGTTCGGATAACAACATCAACAATACAGAGACTGAAGGATACTGGATGTAAGAGTTAACAATATTGATGATAGTGAAAAATTGATAATTTCTCAATATTTATTTTAGATCAAAGACTAGACCTGTGTAAATCATCGCCTGATGATCAAACTTTAGTTAAAGGTCAAATTATCATATCTTTGTTATCTCGTGAGACTGTTCCGGGTAGTGGTAATCCAGGATTAGCAATTGTTGGTCCAACTGGTGATGTTCGAGGGCCTGATGATGATGAGCCAATAGTAGTCGAAAGACAAAGTCCATTGCCAGAAGGCTGGGAAGACAGACGAACAGCTGATGGCCGAGTTTACTACGTAAATCATGTGACAAGAACAACGCAATGGTTGCGACCAACACAACCAGCAAATTTATCAAAAACATTGGCAACAAATGCTACAAACATTAATGAGAATATTCAAACACCGCCAGGCCCGTCACGTTCGTCAACAATGAACAACATAGAACAAAGTCCTTCAAATGGATGCCTTAACAATGAGAATATTCCCACTAACAATCGTCGTCATTCAAGTGACGATTTTATTAATAATATTAATAACGAGATCAGTAATTCTGACAGTACAAATAGCATTGAGAACAAGACGTCAACCACTTCATCGCCAACAGCGGGAGTTTTAGGATCACCGAGAAATTCTGTTTTGGTGCAAAATGTCAATGCTATCACTTCAAATTTAGGATCTTTATCAATAGAAGCGAATGAAGATACGTTGACGATAATCACCACAACGGCTTCTCAAATTGCACCACAACCAACTGTTGCAACACCCACAAAATCATCAGCAACGAGTAGAATTACAAATAAACAGACGACCAATCTATCCCCAGCCCAGCAGCAACAAGTGCCTCCAAATATCACTGCCCCCATAAATGGGTCACCACATGATGCTAGAAGCCATTCACCGCCTGCAACAAATACGCAACGCAATGATGAGAATATTTCACAACCTGGAACACCACAACGACCTGCTGAAGTCATTCAAAATCGAAATGCGGCTGATGGTATTGAAATAAATTTTCTTCTTCTTACTTTTAATAATAATTTTTTTATTTCAGCTCAAAGATCCCGAAGATCAACACGAAATCAAGATGAATCACAAAGACGTTCACGACAAAGACAAGCACGTCAAATTCCAGTGTTACTTGGAGCTGGCATAAGAGCAAATGGAGCTCGACCTGCGATTGATTTGCCTCCTGGTTATGGTAAATAAACGAGTTATTTAATTCATTAAAAGATATTTTGACATTTCTTTCGTTAGAAATGAGAACAACACAACAAGGGCAGGTCTACTTCTTCCACATTCCAACAGGTGTTTCAACATGGCACGATCCTCGAATACCTCGTGATTTTGACATGCAAAATATTACCCCAGAACAACTTGGCCCATTACCAAGTGGTTGGGAACAGAAAAAGACAGCATCAGGACGTGATTACTTCGTTAATCACAATAATCGTACGACACAATTCACAGATCCTCGATTGAATGGACAAGTTTTAAATGCATTACGACGATCAGCAGCAGTGGCACAGAATAATGTCAACACATCAACTTCTAATGCACAACCACAAGTTGCAGTTAATGGACCAACTGCAATCATTCGACCAAACAATGTTATTGAACATCGATCAAATATTATTACAAACCCCGCTATTTCAAACACAGTTTCATCATCACCACAAATAAATGGAAGAATTATTCCTGATTTACCTGTTGGATTGCTTGAAAGCGATTTGCCGAAATATCGTCGTGATTTGGTTGGAAAATTACGTGCACTAAGAGCGGAACTGACGACACTTCAACCACAATCGGGTCATTGTCGATTTGAAGTTTCAAGACAAGAAATCTTTGAAGAAAGTTATCGTCTCGTAATGAAAATGCGGCCAAAGGATATGAGAAAGTAAATTAAATTAAATAACCATGAAGGTGATAAAACAATTAATTTGTTACTCTTTTTTCAGGCGACTGATGGTGAAATTTCGAAGCGAGGAAGGTTTGGATTATGGTGGAATTGCACGCGAATGGCTTCATTTGTTATCGCGTGAAATGCTCAATCCTCAATATGGCCTGTTTCAATACTCACGTGATGATCAATATACGTTACAAATAAACCAAGATTCAAGTAATTTTCTATTTAAATGATCTAAAAAGTAATTAATAATTATTTTTTCTCTGTCAGGTATCAATCCCGATCATTTATCATATTTTCATTTTGTTGGAAGAATTCTTGGAATTGCAGTTTTTCATGGGCATTGTCTAGATGCTGGTTTTACACTTCCATTTTATAAACAACTTCTAAACAAACCGATTACGTTATCAGACATCGAAGGTGTTGATCCTGAGCTTCATAGAAGTTTAACATGGATGTTGTAAGTTTATTTTTTATATCTGTTCAACTTGAAATTTATAATCAATTTGATTTGTTTGCAGAGAAAATAATATAACAAATGTTATTGAATCAACATTTAGTGTTGAAAATAATAGCTTTGGTATTCTCAAAGTTCATGAACTGAAAGCGAACGGTCAACAAATTGCTGTGACTGAAGATAACAAGAAAGAGTATGTGAAGCTTTATGTTAATTATCGATTTATGCGTGGTATTGAGCAACAATTCCTAGCACTACAAAAAGGTGAAGATTATGAATGATTCACATGAAATTAATTTTTAAAGTGGATTCTTTTTTTAAAGGTTTTTGTGAACTTATACCCAATCAATTACTTCGTCCATTTGATGAACGTGAGTTGGAGCTAGTAATTTGTGGCATAAGCAATATAGATGTGAATGACTGGAAGCAATACACACGACTGAAACATTGTACACCTGAAACATCCCAAGTCGTTTGGTTTTGGCAGGTGAGATCTGAATTAATTTTCGTGTCTTAAAACAATTAAATGATTTTATTTCTTTTAAAAAGGTTGTTGAATCATATTCATCGGAGATGCGTGCACGACTTCTTCAATTCGTGACTGGATCTTCGCGAGTTCCGTTACAGGGATTTAAAGCGCTTCAAGGCAATACTGGAGCTGCAACGCCACGACTCTTCACAATCCACTTGACCAATGATGTTCCCATACAAAATTTGCCAAAGGCTCACACGTGCTTTAATAGAATTGACTTACCAGCTTATGACAGTTATCAGTTACTATACGATAAATTGAGTCAGGCTGTAGAAGAAACATGCGGTTTTGCTGTGGAGTAACCGATAAAAGGCAAATTGAACAACGATTCGGTGTATGCTTATGTCCATGTTACGATAATTTTCATTATTTATGCACAAATTTTCAATGAAATTGTCTTACATGTTAGAATATATAGGTATATATTCATGAAATATCGAAACAAAAGAAGAAACATAAAATACATAAAACAATTGCAACATGCTTTGCTCATAAACATGCCTAATTTTACTAAATATTAAATACTGAATAAATAAAAATAGATACTTCAATCTCTTCTTATGCAAACATTTTTTAGATGAATTTTAAAAATGACGTAAATATTTTAAATCTATGGTTGAGTAATAAAAATGGAAGTTAGTTTAATGAAAATGTTCTTTTTTTTTAACTTTCTATCCAAATGAGAATTTAAATTTCCCGCGAAATGTTTGAAGCTATCGTGATAATCCTTTTGGATTATGGTGATTTACATTCCGATCTGCTATTGAAATTCATACTTAAAAAACTAAGAAACTTTTTTTTTCATTTCACTTCATACCTGAAATATTGATTTTGATTGATGACAGTGTAATACTCATAATAATGTTATAAATATTGATTGCAAACAAAAAACCTATATTCTGTGTTAATCAGTAAAAATCTAAAATTGGGCGAGGTGGTTAGAGAAAAATAAAAAGTGAAGAAAAAAGAATAAAAATTATTCAACTGGGAATTGATAGTGAAAGCTAAAGAGATAGTGTACTATATTTTTCATTCTATTATTAAAGAAATATGCCTAAACTTCATGATACTAAGCATAACATCAATCCAGATTCAGTCAATCACACATCACGAAATTATTATTCTTCGTTTTTCTTAAACCTCAAGACTCTACATCAAGATGAACGATTTTGTGACGTAGAATTGATCGCTGGGGGTAATGATAATCATCCAATAAAAGCACATCGAATTGTATTATCGAGTAGTTCAAGTTATTTTGAGGCGATGTTTGGAAACGATGTTTTCAATGAGAATAAAGAAAAGATTGTGAAACTTCATTCAATAAATCATCAAATCTTGAAAATACTCGTTGATTTCATCTACACTGGCAAAATAGAAATCGACCAGATAAATGTTCAAGAATTGTTAGCTGCCGCAGATATGCTACAGTTACTTGATGTGGTCGCAGCATGTGCTCAATATCTGGTGAGTTTAAACGATATAAAATTTCTATTTTTTTTATTTATCTTTTAATTAAATGTTCTTTCAAAAGTGTCGTGAACTTCATCCCTCGAATGCACTTGGAATTTTACGATTTGCTGAAGCACACAATTGCAAGGAACTGGCAGAAAGTGCGAATGGTTTTATAAACTCGCATTTTCCTGAAGTCGCTGAACACGACGAAATCCTGGAAGTATCACAGCAAATGCTTTCAAGATTAATCTCTTCAGAACTCATTCGAGTCGATAGTGAGTATCAAGTATTTAATGCTGCAATGAGATGGATAAAACATGAAGTAGGCATTAGAAAGCGTTTCGTCTTTGAAATTCTTGCCAATGTTCGACTTTCTCTGATACCAATTCGATTGATTGAAACAGAAATAGCGCAATGTCGTGATATGTCGCTAAAAATTGCAATTCGATCGATACACAAAGATTTAGTGTCACGTCGTGGCACTTTAGTGCCTGTTGGTTCCAATCCCAGACTTGGTGCAAAAAAATCAATTTACATTATTGGTGGATCGAAAAGGGAATCTGCAAGTGGTTGGACGAATGATTGCATTTTCGAATCTGTTATCAAATATGATATTTTCCGTGGCGAGTGGGTAGATGTTGCTTCGATGGAAGTTGGAAGAATCCTCCCAGGAGTTACGACACTGAGTTCGAAAATTTATGTTGTCGGTGGAGAACGAGGCTCGCAAATATTTGCAAACGGAGAAGTTTATGATCCAATCAGCAACACATGGGAAGCATTACCAGCAATGAACACACCTCGATGTGAATTTGGTCTTTGTGCACTTGGTGGAACATTATGGGCTGTTGGTGGATGGATTGGTGAAGATATCGGTGACTCAATTGAATCTTATAACCCCATAAAAGATTGCTGGGAGACTGTTGATAAATTACCTGAACCAAGATTCTCAATGGGAGTGGTAAATCAGTTATCCAAATTAACTTAAACTTACATTTAATTTTCTTCTGTTGTTTAATTCAAGGTTTCCTTTGAAGGATTGATTTACATTGTTGGTGGATGTACACAAGTGTCACGGCACCTTCCTGATCTCATCAGTTACAACCCAGTAACACAGGAATTCACACATCTTCCTGAAATGCAGACAGCTCGCTGTCAGATGGGCGTTGCTATACTTGGTCGTTATCTTTATGTCGTTGGTGGAAATTCAAGTCATCAAGAAGTTTTAAAAAGTGTCGAAAGATACTCATTTGATGAGGAAAAGTGGAGTAATGTAGCTCCAATGTCAGTTCCGAGGGCATCGCCAGCTGTTTCTTCTGTCGATGGTCTCTTATATGTTGCTGGTGGTGATCAGGTAAATTTTTTTAAAAATAAAATCTATTTCAATTATTGCCAATTAAATTTTATTTCTTATAGACACGTGAAGTTAACTTCTATCGAGCTCAAATCACAATAAGCTCTTTTGAATCTTACGACCCTTTATCTGATACATGGAAAGAATGTCCCTCCCTGCCAACCAGTCGTAGTGAAGCTGGTGCGGTCGTGATATAATTTATAATATGTCAATATCATATTTAACTTAAGAAATAAATGCCAAAGAGGTTTAAACTATTAAATAAAGTTTCATTTTTCAACATACCCTGGTATTGTTCCATCAATTTTCTCTCTTTTTATGCGCGAGACGTTAAAAACCTTCACATTAACATGATTTCTTTTAAGTAGGAAATTGAGATAATAAATAAATTCAGTTCAACAAGAGAATAAATATTAAAACGAACATTAAGTCAATCAAAAACCAGTTACATAAGCAGTACAATAACTTGCTAAGAAGTGGGGAGATCATTTATTTTAAATAAAAATTAAATAAGTAGAGTGCAGAAGCTTTTTTATTTTCAGTTTCTGGATGGAATTCGATCACTCATAATGAAATTAAACGAAGTTATACCAGATTTTGAAGCTGAAACCACAAAGGGCAGAATAAATTTCTATGATTGGCTAGGAGAATCGTAAGATATATTCAGATTGCGATTTGTTTCTAAATGATTTCAAGAATTTTCCGATAGTTGGTGTGTTTTGTTTTCACACCCTGCAGACTTCACGCCAGTCTGCTCCACTGAACTCGGTAGAATCGCTGTTCATAAAAATGAGTTTTCAAAACGAAACGTTAAAATTCTCGCACATTCTGTTGACTCTTTGGACTCTCATATTGAATGGGTTAACGACATACACAATTATTGTCAAGATATTCGCAGTGATTTCCCTTATCCCATCATCGCTGACCCTTCGAGAATCTTGGCAGTTAAATTTGGAATGATGAATGAAAATGACATTGTTGATGCAGAGACAGCAAAAACTGTTCGTGCTTTGTTCATTATCAGCCCTGACAAGCGTGTTCGTCTCATTATGCATTACCCGGCGTCATGTGGAAGGAATGTAGACGAAATTATACGTTGCATCGATTCACTTCAATTAACTGATCGTTTGAAGATTATCGCGACACCAGCTAACTGGATTCCTGGGGAAAAAGTGATGATCTTACCTGACACCGATGAAACCGAAATCAAGAAGATATTTCCGAATGGTGTTGATGATGTTAAAATGCCTTCAGGAAGAAATTATATCCGAAGTACGACCAATTATTGAAAATTCATTTTTATTTCAATGTTAAATTACTTGATCTTGAAACTGAATAAATTGCTTAAGGCATAAAAAACACAAACATAAATATTTATACGTTATAAAAAATTAGTTGAATTATTTTCATTATTGTCATATGTATGTATAAGTAGAATAATTTACAAAGTTATTTATTGTGAGTACACAAATTAAAAGTTTTAACTAGTAACAAAGTTGCTATGCTAATTATCAAAAGCTTTATGTTTAATCTTTGATTAAAGTTCCTTTGACTATTTGAACAAAACAACATACCCTTGAGCTAGCCCTTTGATATCAAAAAATTATTAAAAAAAGAGAAATTGGCATGATTTTTATAAACATTGGGAAAGAGATAGTTAATTAAGCTTGTGAATGGTTTCATAATCTTCAAACTTCTTCAATCGCTCGAGATTTTTCCACCAAACATTTAAGCGACCTGATTTGAGTATAAGATTAAACCATGGTGTCAACGGAGAGCTCAGAGATGCAATTTCTCGTTCAAGATTCTCATGTTTTATCCAAAGAACTTCGCTCACTTCCCCTGGATTTGGCTTCACATCGACTTGCTTCTGCAAGAACAGAATGTAATCGATTTCATGTTCTCCCCATATGCCGTCACCTTTGTCAATGTAATGGATTCGAGTTAAATAATGGAAATTTTCGGGGCGCACCTGCAAATTAATTGATGTAAATATTATCATAATTTTCTTAAGCAAACAGGTTTCTTTAGGCTCCTGCATTACAACATTTAAAAATGATAAACTAATACACAAAAAAAATTAGTGACTCATTTACTTGATTATTTGGTATGCCTAACTCGAAATTCAACCTTCTCTGTGCAGCTCGTTTAATGCCAATTGCATTAAGCTCATCTCTTTCATTCTCAATGTCGTGCAGTGGATGTGAACAGCAAGCATTTGTATAACAATTTGGAAATGTGATCTGCAAAAGAAGATGCGACAGTAAAGTTTATGCTAATTTCATGGAGATTTTTCGGTTATACGAAGATGATTATGCTAATGAAATGAAGATTTTTGTTTGCCTTCGTTGTCATGTGTTACACACATTTATGCAAATAGAAATCGACAACCATGAGGTAACATTTCTAAATTTTATTGGAGAACTTTACCTTGTGGTTTGACCTTTTCTGTAAGAGCATTTCTCCCTTCTCATTGAAAAGGAAGACACTGAATGCACGATGTAGTTTTATATCATTACCACTAACTTTATGACAGTCGCGTTTACTTGCAAATCCTACGTTCTTATCATTCCCATCAACTAAAATACAGTTTTCACGGTCCAAAAATAATTCTTGCTTTTCATTTTCAACAGACTCCGCCAGTTTGTGTGCAAAACTATATCTTGACTTACTGAAAAGACTTTTAACTGGCTTCAAAAGTTCTTTATTTCTAAATATTGACATTTTTGATAAGATTAGGACAAGCGATTTCACTTTTAAATGACTGGTGGTACGAAGCTTTCGTCCAATGCACTGACCCATTCAAAGTACGGATTAAGCTGAATGTAAACAAACGTTTATTCATTGAAAAGTACAAAAATGATAAACTCTTATTTTCTTGTCATCACTTGTCTCAAAACCAGTAGCATTGTGCTACTGAAGAATCCCAGTTCCTCTAAGAATCTCAGGAACTCACAGTCGGGATTTTTATTTACTGTAGGGTGAAAACAAATTTTAGAATAAATTTTTTCTTGATTTTCTACTAAGAACAAAAATATTTATTTTTTTATTCTAATAATGGTGAATTTGAAATAATTAACAAACAAAAATCGATTTTGCTGAAGTTCTGATGTTTTTAAAACAATATGTTTTTAATTTCTTTATCTCGAAAAAATCTAAATTTTCATTGAATTCTTGCCGACTGCCAATCACGATTAGAAGACTGCGGAACTTCCGGTTCTTTTTCTTAGTCTGGACTGGGAAAAAGTCTTCATCACTGCATATCATAAGTAGAAACTTCTGCTGACATGAGCTGTTGAGTTAAATAAATAAGTTGACTGTATTGATTTTTATATTCATTTCTCGAATTAAGATTCGGGCAAATCCTACACACAACATAAGTTGGCTTTGTTATTTGTCTAAATTCTGATTAAAGAATATCCAGACTAGAAAATATTTTTTAAAAATGAAATTTCGCAATGGTTTTAGTCTTACGATGTTTAATTTGTCACAAAGAATTAGAATACACGAAATTAGATCCCAGTGAATTAGCTATCCATATGAAAAACGAACATTCTATCATAAGAGATTCTGATAATTTGCAAGACAATTTATATATGAACAGAAGCACTGAAAAACTTTACGAAAGCTTTAATAAAAATTTTCGTAATATGAATGGTCAAACAATAATTCACAAAAATATTAAAACAGAGAATAATCGGAAATATTTTCGAGAGAGTCCGGAAAACTCGTTGGAAATAGAAAATCAAACATCAAAGGCCACCAGAGAATCAAATCAAAATGACGAATTAAAAGCAATCAAAAACGTTGATGATGATAAATTGAATTTATTATCACATGTTCAATCAAACATGAAACCAGAACGAAAAAAAGTAACAGAAAAACCAACAGCAAAGTCACAATACAATCCAATATCTAATAAGAAGCGTTCTAAAAAGCATTCAAAATTATATGAAACATCAGTTGTAAAATGGCAATCATTTGGCGATGAAAAATTTCATTGTCCGCGATGTCTATCATATAAACGACCAGTCGTTGTAACTGACACTGAAAAATCAACACAGTCATCATTCGTAGCAACATTATGGATGACTTGTTGGCCACTTTGTCTTTCTACTTCTCTCCTTCAAGAACCAATGTATGAGAATCTTCATTGTTCACTTTGTAATTATCAATTCGGCATTTACGATCATAAAAGAAAAATTGTAACATCAAGTAATCGAGAAAATACAAAAGCTTAAAAGAAGTTTCTTTTCGTTCATTTTTATTTAATTTATTTATTTTATTAATATGTAAGTAGAACTTTCGTTAATACATTTTTAATTTGTTGCCATTTGTCTTGAGTAATCTATACGCATCTTCTGTTTATTGTAATGTTTCTTTTGATGGCACTTCATGAATTTTTGGAATTTTTATGGCTTCAAACAATTCGAAACATCCTTCAGAACTTTCACGTAATGTAATATAATCATCATCGTCTTTTACTTCAACATTCCATTGATAACGATTCACAGATATTTCATTCGGCAAAAATACTCTTTTTCGTTCTAATAAATCTTTAAGAATTGTTTGAATTCTCTTCATTAGGTTTACTTTGAATTCTGGATGAATATTTGGATGATCAGTAGTTGGGTCGGTTTGAAGTAATACCGACATTGCTTCACGCAAATGATTAATTTTTATGACATCTTCGATACTGAAATCGAAGTCAATATTTAAAACAGCATCACGCTCACCATAGAATGGCGCTTTTCGAACGCCATCAAAGCCCAAACCGGTAAGAATCGACACAAATTTTGTTTTTTCTTCATCACGACGAATTTCAGCTGTTGGACTGAAGATTAAAGCTAAGATTACAGCAACTCCTCGTGTTTTCGGCATAAAAGTTGTTTCTCGAATGGTCAAGCGATTTTCCTTCGAATCTGTTGTAATATCAGCTGCAACATAAAATTTTAGTCCCGTCAAACCGTCACATTCGTCATCATTAAAAATCACTGAATTAACAGAGTTGTGATCAACTGAAACAACTCTTGTATTGTAACGAACGATTGGATAAACATCAGCTTCTAATGGACTAAAAGGGCCGATAAGTTTCAAAGGCTTTCGTGATCCAGGCGGTGATGAAACGTTTAGCATTGCGCTTTCCAGATTTTCATCAATCTTTTCTGCAAATTCTACTTCAGGCATTTGTGGTTGGTCATTTAATTGAGCATTTCGACGGAATTGATTATCCCATTGGCTTAAATAACTTTCTTGACAGTATTCAGCGAAACCATCTTGCAATAATTTTGAATTCCAGTCCACCTTTTCTTTTCCAGCAGAAACAAGGCGAACACTTACTACTCCGTTTACAACTGAATGAATGAAAATTGCAACACGTTGACCCACAAGTTGATTAAGACTTTGAATAGCCTTTTGTGTCCATTTTCCTTGAGATGAAAGCGTTGAAGATGGTTGAATATTTTTTAATGTGCATCTAATGACGCGCGACGGATACTTAAGAAGTTCCTTCTCAAAGTTTATGTCAGCAAACATGAATGTTGTTGTTTTATTTCCAATTACAACTTTACCGACATCGAGAAGATTGACATAAGGTGAGCCTTGAGCAGTACAACCAACAACAACGCCACGTTCGATTGTTTTATTATCATTATTATTTGATATTTCAATCAACACAAGTCTTCCATTTTCGATATGTTTGTAACCTGGAACTCTCTTAGCTCCAGCAATTTTGCTTTTGATTTCTGACAAAATTCTTCCATAACGATCATCCGTGATTTTTGCATGTTCACATGTTGCAATAATAGGCCGAAAGAAAAATTTATTTGGTGATTCAATATGGGTGATAAAGCCTTGCATTTTGGAAGTGTTTTTTGTTGGTTCTACGACCCATCCGGGATATTTGACATAATTTTTAAACGGAATGAAAGTTTCACCTTCCATTTTGCCAAATCCACATTCGACAGCATATTTTTCTGTAGCATTTTGATTGCTTACCATCAATGTAAAATTTATACGTTCGTTTTTTTTCAATTTGACTGATTTGTAAACTTCCGGAACTACTTTTCCCAAAAATATATTATCTTCTTCAACAGTTGGCGCTTCAATCATAATCTCATGTTTGTCTTCGAATGTTACATAAACTTTTTCAGATACTTTGTAATTAAATGAAATTTTTACTTCCGATTGTTTATCAATGATGTTGTTTTTGATGAAAAATTCTTTAATTTGATCTTTGTAGACATCTCCAAAGAGGTAACGATCCATTTTTGTGAAGAAAACTGTTCGGAGCACGTCATGATTATTCATTAATCTAAGATTTTCCATTTCATCTTCTTTGGTATTTTCGCGCAAAACAAAGAAATTTCCAGCACCAAATGCACCAGCAGCACAAATTTTAATCATGAATATTTTATCGCGACAGTCTTGGAATGTTTCTAAATTTGGCTTTATGTTAATATCTTGCAATCGATTTGTTATTTCTTTAACTAAAACTCCCATTTCACGAATATTTTTACGATCAATATTATGACGTTTACACCATTTCCTCTCATAATCTTCACCTCGTAAACGTCCATCTTCATGACCTTGTTTCCATTCATTGTAAGCATTTAGAATTGCAATTAAATCACTTCCCGATCCTTTCGCGAATTCAAGTTTCTTCACGTATTTGTCAACTTCTTCTCTCAATTGCTGATTCGTGAAAATACATTTCAAACTCAAACCTGCGCTGATAATGATTGTTTCGTGAAGACAGCTGAACACATATCCAAGAGCTATAAATTTACTAAGAGTGACGTCAATTGGAAGTGTTCCCATTATACGGCCAAGAAAAGTGAGATTGCCATCGAAGTAATCAAACTGACCGCTGTCATTTAATCGTTGTAATCCACCAAGTTCTTTAAGATGAAGAACTGCGTTACTAATTGCACGTAAATTAGGAGGGTCGAGAGCCAATGCAAATGTGTCTATAGGTGAGCCCATGTTCAATAATTTAACTTTAATAACTGCTGATTCGAGTGGCATTAGCTTCATTTCTGGTGGTGGATATTTTTCCATTTTATTCATGAAAAAGTTTTTATGAACAAGTCTGATAACATTTCCATCACAATTACGAGCTGTTCGACCAGCTCGTTGTTCACAATTATTTTTTGAACACCAGTTCAAGGTGAGTGATGACACTTTTCCGCCAATATTGGACGCTGATTGATATTTTGTGAGACAGAAATCAATGACATGAGTGATTTTGGGAATTGTGACACTTGATTCTGCGATATTTGTTGATAAAATTATTTCAAACGTATTAGTGTTTTCAAAGACTTTTTTCTGTTCATCAATTGAGATCGTCGAATGAAGAATGTGGATGGAAGGAACAATTTGTTCATTGGTGAAAAGTTTTTGGATTTTTTCACTTGTCAACTTGGAATAAAGAATTTCAATCTCATTAATTCCGGGGAGAAATACAAGAATCCGTGGAATGATTTTCATGTTCTTATTCTGTTGTTCAACCATGTTGATAAGTGAAATAACTCTCACAACAAATTCATACATTTCTTCTTTAATTCCTGGTTCATTGTAGTCAATGATTGTCCTTTCATCAAAATGTTGTAATGACTCGAGTGATGACGTGATAAGCATGTCAAGATAGAATTCTTTGATTTTATATTTTCTTGATTTGTCCGAAAGATTGATGACTGGCGGCCAATAAAATTCGCCATCTTCTAACGGAATCTTAAAGTAATCCATGAGTGACAGTTTGTCCATCGTAGCTGACATTAAAATGATTTTTGTCTGGCGACTATTACATGAAAGTAAGCGACGTATAACGACAAGAAGTAAATCAATTTCAATGTCACGTTGATGAACTTCATCGATAATGATGTGAGAATATCTTGCCATACTTTTCTCAAAGATTAACTTTTGCAAAACAACTCCAGTTGTGCAATAAAGAATTTCAGGAATACAATCGCTGTCGGAAGGCATAGACACTTTACTTAATCCAACTTGATATCCAACTTCTATTCCTAAAAGTGAATTTCGTTCTTGAGCGACGCGAGTTGCATTTGTGATTGCAGCAATTTTACGTGGTTGAGTTATGAGGATTTTACACTTAAGCTTTCGCTGCTTGCAATCATCCAATATGTATTGGGGAACTTGAGTTGTCTATTAGAGTAAGGAATTCAAAATAAATAAAAATAACTCAATATTAAAAATAAAACAAATTCTGACCTTTCCACAACCTGTTTGACCTTGAATGATTATGATTGGACTTTCTTCAATATTTTGTATAATTGACCCACGGTATTCAAATATCGGCAAATCATCGCGATGATTTGTTTCTGAAATTGATTGTCTTGTAGTTTCTAATGATAATCCAGAAACATTTATGCTTGCGAGACTGGAAAGGTTTGCATCCAAGAAATTCTAAAATTAAAACGTATTGAAATTAAAAAATCAAATCCCCATAACCTTATATTAACTTGCATTAGAAATTTGTTGACGCCATCGTTCCAAAACTGGATTCACATATGCATTATTAGCATAATTTCGTTCCACTTTTTGCTCAGATTTTGGAACTGTGACAATAGATGAATTATTAAATATTTCTGGCTTGTAAAAATTGATTTTCGGCTCCTCAAAGTTTAAGAATGCATCAAGTGCTTTTTTCACATCATCCCGTTTCTTTTTGTAATCAGATTGTGCTCTGTCATTACTTTTCTCAGGAATTTCCGCCATTACTAATATTGAAGAACTGATTTTCAATCTCAATTTAGGTAGATACCTAATTGTAATCAATTATTAAAAAGGAACTGAAATTTGAATTTCTCACATCAAGAAAGTTATTTAGAAATACTTTACCTTATATTTTACTATTTTTAAACGTTAGAAATGAATTTTTTATTAATAGAAAATACGAATGACTTTGTGATGATGCAAGGAATGACCGTTGAGTTTTAAATATTTTGAATTTAGTTTGTTTTTCATTCCCTCATCAAAATGTAGTTGCATTCCCCTTGTGCATGCTGCTTTTCGCGAGAGAGAGTATTTACTTTAAAATAAAATCTTTTCAAATCATATCGGAATCAAGATGTCACTTTCTGAACAATCACGTAAAGTTGAAACAAAATGGGATCTAGTGATAAGACAATTAAGAGAGAATCATCGAAAGATTATTAGCAAATCTCATTGCGAAATCTCAGTTTTCAATTCATTGAACAAAAAAGAAATTAAAACTATGCTCATCTTATATCTTAATGATTTGAAGCCTGCTTTGAAGAAATCATCAAAACTAAGTGAAGAAATTCGTATTGAAGGCAATAAAATTTTCAAACTTCCTAATGCAAATCTTTTTGAAGCTTGCTTTTTATATTCCCTCGCACTTAAATGTTGCTCAGAAAAAGGAGATTTTGCATTTTGTCATGGTAATCGAGCAGCGGCATTAATGAAAATTGGCTTCAACCAAGTAGCAATGAATGACTGCTATCAAGCACTTAAATATCAACATCCAGATCCTTTTAAAATTTATGAAAGATTGTGTTCATTATCACATAATTCGTTGGAGGAAATGAGAAAAAATTTAGCCGGCTTAGAAAAGCATCTAAAGAAATCTTCAAAGCAGTCAAGAGAAATAATTCAGCATTATAAGATTCGTTTAAAAGCTATGGAAAAGGAAAAGTATGTTAACGAACTTCCCGAAGTTGACAACCTTTTGTTGGAATGTAAAGATGACGTGAAAGTGAAGCAGTAAGTTAAATAAAATTTTAATTTTGATATAAAATTGATTATCGTTATTTTGTTCAATAGAATGATTAATAGAGATGTCGGAAGATATGTTGTCGCACAGAAGGCAATTGCAAAACATGAGAAGATATTTAGCGAATTGCCGTTCGCATTTATCCCGGTACATAATCATGGGGTTAAGAAATACTTCAACAGTGACTGCGAGAACTGCGGTCTTGTTAATATCTGGCCTTTTCTTTGTCTCGAATGTCGCATGGCGTCTTATTGCTCACCGAAATGTTGTGAGGATCATCAGAAGATTCATAAATACGAATGTGAAGGCTACAAAATCAATTTGTGGTTTGAAATTGGAATTGCGCATCTTTCGATTCGATGTCTACTTGTTGGCTTTCCTTCGCTCCTCAAAAAAATACAATCATTTGATCATAAGGAATATAAAAATAAGCCAGAAAAGATTTTTAAAAGAATCCTACAAATCTGCAATGAGGAACATCAAAATTACTTTGAATCTTCTGAAAATTCGAACAATGATTTTCATGATTATGCAAAAGTCATTGGACTTGTACCGAATCTTTTTCATTGTGGGACATTTCCAACGAAGAATATGCCTTACGCAGTTGTAAGTTTTAATTTATAATTATTAATTCATAGAAAGTTCAATTTTTTTACATTTTATTTTATAGACTGCCCAGATGCTGACAATTTATTTACGAGACCGAACTTCATTCTTTCAAGATCACATAACGAAAGAAATAAATATTTTGGAAAAGAATTCCGATTGGGATTTAGTTGTCGGTGCATTGATTATGAGACATATGGGACAACTTGTTTCAAACGGTCATGCAATTGTTGATTTTCGACAAAATGTTTTTACAACTGAACCACTTAAACTTATGGTACTTAGAAATCAAGCAAATGGAGGCGGTCTTCATCTCTTGCTTAAATCACAACGAGTCTTCACTGGAATCTTCCCAAAGGTTTCTATGCTCAATCATTCATGTTCATCGAATATTAGAAACGTGTTTGAAGGAAAAGAATTGACAATATTTTCAAACGACAATATATTGAAAGACGGTGAAATTTTCAACTGTTATGGACCAAATTGCAAGTTGATGTCATATCGAGAAGGTCAGGATACTTTGAGATTAAATATAAATCATTAAAACACAGAGCATAAAACACAATATATTTGCTGCAGCATAAGGGTTCAACCTGTTTTTGTAGCTCAAATACAAATAAATAAATAAATAAAGATAAAAACTCAAAATTTAAATTTAACACATTCTCATCGACAACATTGAACAAATCAAAAGAATTCTTCCAAAATGATCAATTTTAATACATTTAAGAGCAAAACTATTATAGTGTTATTCGGTTCTCGACATCAAAACTTTTAATTTCTCATAAATTAGATAAATGTTATGTTTGGTTGATTTTTTTTTTTGGAAAATGTGAATTTTATTCACTTACCGATGTTTGAGCTTAAACAATATGTTGACCATATCACAAACAATACACAGCATATTAAATAGATTAAAAACATGAAAACAGTAAACTTGTCAGTGTCCCAAAAAGATGTAAACTTTTGTTGAAGAAGCATGGATGGTGGAGCTTTTGGACATGTCGAAGTACAATCTATACATGAACACGGTGATGTAATACCCTGAAAAAAATTAAAAAACTTACAAGAAGTAATCACCGTTTCAAGGAATTCTTACATCAATCGATTCATTACAAGGCACAATACGAGGATTTAATGGTTTGAAACCATTTATAGGATCTGTAGAATTTGCCATTATGTAATTGATTTGAAATGGCACGAAATCTTCACTTTCATCTCCCCAATAGTGGAATAATCGTTTTGGTGTACATTTTGTTGCTCCCCATGCACCACACATCAAATCAAAAGCCAATTGACCTGATGATGGAAAGTTTACGTTTTTGCATGAGTCGTAACTTCCATTGATGAACTTTTCCGTTATATACAAATCAATTTCGTTGACAAAAGTTCCTTAAATTAATTTTAATTTATTGTTATATATTTCATATTAAAATATCTGTAATGATTGTATTTGCCTTACTGTTCGTTAAGGTATTAATTTTCTTCTCTACGACTTTAATAAACGATGACTGATGTGGACTACAAGTAAATTCGCAGATTGGTTGTAGGAAGTTTGCGAAGCATGACGGACAGCGATTTAAGATACTGGCTGCTGTTGCAACACCATTTACAAGATCTTTGATCTATTTATTTTTATTTTTCAAAACTTTAATTTATTAATTAATTAATCTATATTTTTTAAACTTACCTGTTCAATGTCACAGCATGTCAAAACGTCTTCAGTCTTGTTCTTTGGTATTAAATTTGGACACCATTTCTTTAACAAGTTTACTCCCTCACTATCAAGAATTTTTGGCGGTCCATCATAAGCGCAATTCTTCACTTTTGTTTTGTTACGAACGCAGACTTTGTACCATACGCAGTGTTCATCATTCATGCTCGGTATTTGACCTAAACACTATTAAAGAACGTTATTGAGAAATGTTTAATTGAATGCGACTTTAATTTTATTATAAGAATTTTCTTAATTAATAGTTGCACGACATGCTCGACATGCAAACTGGTCCAATCGAATTTTCATACTAAATAAATAAAAATGTTTAACAATGAATAGAAATGACTAAAAGTTGTTAAGTATAGCATCATTTCTCATATATAATTTGTAGATAAATTTTTCAGTAGAACAATTAAACAAGTTTTTCATTCAGGTTTACTTAACGAAGTGTGAATGAAACAAAACCTCGCTCAATAAGTGGAATTTTTTTGTACATTGTGTTTAGATCTGTCGATTTATTTTTTATGCTTGATAACCAATCGATTTAATATTTTTGTTACCATATAAGAAGTCTTAAACAGTCATAATTTAAGACACAAAAATAATTCATTAGTATGTAGATTTGCCGGTTTATTTCTTAAAACTTAAATACTTTAATAAAAAAAAAGAAAAGGGACTACATTATTTATTTTCAAAAAGGACTATTTAATATAGATTCTTAGAAGGTAGAAAATTTTGCATTTTAATGTATTACCAAAGCATTGATATACAAATAAGTTAGATAAAGTTTCCGAAGTTCCTACTTTCTATTCAATTTTATTGAAAATCATTTTAAAGTCAAAACTTTGTTGATTTATCCACTTATTTATTTTTATTCAGAATAAATAGTTTCATCAGCTGTACAACTCATTGAATATTTACCAAGTCTGAATTATTGATCTGCTACGTATATTTGTTAAAGGAAGAATTGAAGGAAACAAGAATATTGATAAGAATCTAAGATTTTCTAAATCAATTCTATGCTTTATTTTTTAAATCGCTTTCTTATAAATGTAATTATGCTAGCATTATCAAATAATTTACCGTCATATAACATTCATGTCACAAGATAAATGATCTAAATAGAATTTGCAAAATGAAATTTATCATAAAGTCAAGCGTTAATTGACCTTTAAAGAAATTCATTGAATGCGTCTGACTCAATGGGATTTGATAAGTATTCGATGTGCTAACCTTGGCCTATGCGTTTTTGTAATCTTAAAATCATTTAATTATTGTATTGAATACCACAATTTATTAAACTGGTTTGAGAATTCTTGCGAATTCACATTCATATGTAATAAAAGGGGTAGCAATAGTATATCCACCAGAAATATTTTTTTTACACCATTGAATGACCTTTCTACGTAATCTGATCACTTTTATTTGATGTCACACTACATTCTCAACTGGACGTTCTTACCAAATATTCATGAAAGGCGATGGTAGAAAGCACCAAAATAATTGCAAAACATTTCATGATGTCTTCATCACTTAAATATATTTCATTTAAATCAATCACTCCAGTTATTCACTTGAAATTAAATATTACAACACCTAAATCTTGGATTATTCCTTGCCACGAATAAAACCTTTTTCTTCGATCTTCAACGCGCCAATGTTAAAGCATCTTTGGAAGCCGAAGCGAGAATATCAAATTCTTATATACATTGAAGCACTAAGAGAATCAATTCAATTTGAATGAAGCCTAAAGAGAAACTGCGATCAATGTGCATAAGAAACGTATAAAAAACGATATTAACAAGCTTTCAAATTTTAGAAGCTTTATACGATTCAATAACATTTGCAATGTTTTTCGTCCAGACGATCAGCATAATCCGAAAACATTGAAATTTTTCAAAAAGATTTTAGAGTTTCGAGGGGTAGAAAGCTTATGTGAAAAAAATTGAATCGTAACATTGGAGATGTTTGAACCGCTTTTATTTTCATTTATATTAAAGCACTCGAAACAGATAGAAGTAAATTTAGGTGCTAATAATATCTTAAAAGGCGTAGTTATTATTTATCATACATGGAGTGTTAGGACAGAAGTCAAAAAATAAGAATTGTGAATGAGAAAGTATGTAAATTTAAAATAATTCCAAATATTAATGCAAGCAAGTGCTTCAAAAGTGAAAGAAAAAATATGTTCATTGCCTTGGTGTAAATAATGATAATTATTATGTTATAAGTTAATAAGTAGTGAATGAGACTTATTAGGATATAAAATTAAAAGAGAAAAGAAAAAAAAATCAAATATAAAATGTCCGCTGAATCAAGCAGTAATAGGATTTTAAGAATCTGCAGTTTATTTCTCCTTTTGTCCAATTTGGTAAGTTGAATTTATTTGAATACTAAGTCAAATAAGCCACTGTTTGCTAGTGTGTGAGCTAACTACCTGAGTAGATTATTTATATGAAATACTTATTAAATGTTAGAAAAAAGATTGTTTGCGATCTTTTCATTGTTAATGCAACATAACACAACTTTAAACTTTAACTGAAACTCTTAACACACATACACTGCTTTAGTGTAAACAAAATTTTGCAATTAATTATAAATATTCCTTGAATATTCACTGACTCAAGAGTAGAAATAAGTCTATAATTCTTATCAGTAAAACCAAGTGATTCATCGAGTTGATAAAAAAATTATTTCACTTTTAGTTTCTTTATATTAATGCCTTTATCAAAATCTTCAGCCGTCTATAAATTTTAGGAAAAAAAATTAATATTGATTTTCTAAGTCACTCTACTTCGGAAAAACTCAAACAATGTCACATTATGACGTCATTGTGAGATAGTGATTATTTACGATTTCGCTTTTCTTCATCTTTACTACTCACTCTCACACTAATTTCATAAAGTTTTTTCAGCTGTGCGAAGCGTAGTTATGAATATTAAAGTGCAACAACAAATGTCAACGGAAACAACCTGGCGCAGAAGCTAAAAAAAATGATCATCGATTTAGCCTCAATGTTTTGTTTTTGAAAAGAAAGTATTTGAATCATTATCAAATAACAGCCAGGCATTTCCATCAATGTAAAACTTTATAAAAAATGTTGAAAGAACTTAAATTTTCTTTTTATGTTTACATACTTATACTATATTATGTGGACGTGGTATCGATTCCTTTTCTTTCTTCACCCGATAGAGAGCATACCATAGAGTTTTAAACACAACTACTTCTACCTAATTCTGTAAACATAAATAATTTTTAAGCATATATTCTTAATCATGGATATTTATATCCATGCAGCAAAATTGTGTATAAACATAACAAGAATTTGATTATATTCTTCCTCGTGATAAGTATAATCTTCTTCAATTCCCAATCTTGTATATTGTATACAGATATAATGTCCTTGAGAGTCCAAATCAATTATTGACGCCGAGTCGTAGTAGTGATGTCGAAAAATCACATGAACAATTAAAAATGTTGCTCTGTCAACATTAATCACTTTTCTGATATCTGTATAATCACAACTTCCGTTAACTAACCTTAATCGATATATAAATAATCTAATCTTGATTTTTATGATGGAAAATATCATGATTCTACCAGTTATACATATTTGCATAATATCTACTTAATATAATAATCATTCCTCAAAATTGTAAATATTTATCTAAATAGTTAATATACAAAATTGAAGACCTTGAAGACTTTCTCATTCTCATTAATTTAAAATTTTCCTTTCACCATGAAAATGTATAATGAGCGGCGTGTGAATGCATGAATCTGATTTCCTTAGTAGCAGTAACTTTGCACTTGGTAGCGTGTGAAAATAATCATTTGATGTACTTCTGACATGATCCGATGATATTTACTTTTTAAAATTATAGAAATGTTTAGGTAATGTACTCGTCGATCATTTTTCATTATCATTTAATTTGTGTAGGCCAATATTTCTTCAAGAAAAATCGATATACCTATGTACATATGCATGATGTATTATATCATTTTCGTGACGAACTGTGTAAAATTATAGGAAAAATTTCAAAGCCATGTTAAAAATTTTGAAATGAAAAAAATAATGTTTTCTTTTCATAAATTTTTGAAAACATGGAATGTTGTTTGATTGAGTTTCATGCGTCTAACGAAAGAAAAGTCAAAAATTGATAACAAAAACAAAAAGAAAATGAATCAGACGACTTGATTTGAAGTAACTCACTAAATCACTGAAGGTTAACTAACATGACCCTTCTTTTTGTATTTCCACTAATAAAATGCTTGTATGAAAAATGTTTTCAAAAGACATGACTATGATTTTTATATATAAGTTGACCGTTAACAGAATCATGTATTCATCTATCATTCCATACAAACTTTGTAACGTGTAAAAATTTTTGAGATGGTGTTATACTTAAATCATGAATACTCGGCGAAATCTTCTCAATGGCGCTGAATTGACCTTGATTTCGGATCATTTTAACTCGTAACGACAATAAGGTTCGTAAACTTGTTATTTTTGCAAACATTGTTTGTGAAATTATCACAATTGAATTAAAATGGCCGTTTCTTTGTATAAAGCGTTAAAAAGTTGCGATAAGAAATGTAAATTTATCTTCTGTTTCAACAAAGAATTTTATTTTTAAGTAATCGGACACTTATTGACATAATAGATAATTTTCAAAGTTCATTAGCGTATAATCAGAGTTGGGCGATCCAAGAATTTTTTGGATCGCCGATCCAGTTAAGCGATCCAAAATTTCAAAATTGGATCCCAGATCCGATCCACGATCCAATATAAAAAAAAATTACCATGCCCCTCATTCATGTAAAAGCAACATACTTGTAAATATCTCTATCCCTTGTTGTTCAAAGAGGCAAAACTACGATTTTCTAAAAAGTTTCCTAACCCTTTGGCGAAAATTGTAGTTTTGCCCCTTCAAACGCTAAGGGGTAGAAAAATGTTTTACAAATCTGACCCTTAAGAGAAAAGGGCATGGGAAAAATGGAACGTGGATCGGGTCTTCGATCCAATTTTTTCATGGATCGGCGATCCGTTTCACGATCCATTTTTTCCATGGATCGGTGATCCATTTTCATGATCCAATATTTTAATTTTTGGATCGGCGATCCGATCCATTTTTCCGATCGGCGATCCGTATCGGAAAATGGATCGCCCAACTCTGCGTAATAATACCTATGTAGTTGAATTTTTTTGGAAGTTTATCGAAATAATCCAAAATGTTCTTTTTTTAAACATTCCTAATTGTTTTTTAATCTAGTTTATTAAAAAAAGTGGAGTATACATAAATATTGCTGCGTTTTTAATTTCCTTTTTCTGAATATACAAAAATGTTTTTGACCACAAATTGCAACTAAATCGTTATTTATAAATAGAAAGAAATGTATTCAGTTATAATTCTTAAACTGGATTCATAATTTTTCTCTTGCAAACATAAATTCTGTTTTCATTATTCAGCAATGTGCTATTTTTTCTTCTTCAATTTTATCTCTGTTGATCTGACGCAAGCAAATACTGCTCTCGATTGTTTATATTCTACTATTATTATTTACTTGATTTTGACTTCTCTTTAAAAAAGAAAATAATTATTACTCATAATTTTTAAGGCAAAGAATAATTATCTGATTTGGTGATTTAACCACAGAGCAAAAATAATTATTATAGTATTTGACATTACTAATATGCAACGACCACATTAAGCATGAGTTTCACTCATTACGAGCCAAAAGAAAGAGAAAGAGTATCTACTGTCACGTCAAGGTTTTTAGCAATATATGTTCAATGTCGTCATTGAATTCTTTTTTTTAGTAGATTGACTAAGCATGCAAATATTTGACCAGTCTATCGGTCACTACAAGCTCATAAAATATTATTCACAATTTGATTTTAAATGAGAATTAAATTTTGCTTTAATAATATTTATAATTAGAGTTCTGCTGTAATTAACAATTGACCTTCACAATAAGAAATAATATTTCAACGTTCAACCAATGTTATTACAATTACAGTCTTGGTGTCAAGTGTCATCAAATGAGGATGGGCATTGTATTTGGTATGGCGTTTGCAATCAAGAAGGCAAAATCAAAAATTGCTTTTACAATGAAACAGCAAAAGCTCTTAATGAAACAGGAGTCGAAGCTTTGAAGCAATGGTGCTCACATTTACTGCCTTCAAATTACAAAGAAGGTCAAGAAGTATTTACGTGCTGTGATAATGAACAGGTGACTTAGAACAAATAAATTTAAAAAGTCTAAATTGAATCTTTATTTTTTTCCGAATAGTTGAAAATTTTCAACGAAAACATTAAATTGGCAGCGAATCTACTAAATCGATGCCCATCATGCATGAGTAATCTCGTGCGACATATTTGTGAGTTCACGTGTAGTCCAAAACAGTCGACATTCATAAATGTCACTAAAACAGATATTAATCTCTCAACTAATCGTAAGTGATGAAAGATTGCACCAAATACCAAAGTATAGTCATGATATTATTATTTAATTGGCAGAAACTTATGTCGATGAGATTGACGTTCATATCACAGAAGAATATATGAGTGGAGCTTATAAATCCTGTAGGAACGTGCAGTTCCCTTCATCTGGTCAGTTGGCCTTGGACTTGATGTGTGGTGATTGGGGAGCATCTCGTTGTACACCAACTCGATGGTATGGATACATGGGCAATGCAGCATCAAATCCTTTCGTACCATTCCAAATCAATTATCGTCCTCATAATACTACAAATAATGTCGACGGATTTATTCCGATGAATCCCCGAATTGTTCCATGCAACGAGTCAGCTGATGTGAGTGAAAAATTTTAAAGTCCATGATACCACAAATAAGCTTTGACTTTTCAACAGGGAATAAAACCAGCATGTTCATGTGTTGATTGCACCCTATCTTGTCCCAAGCCACCACCACCCGAACCCGTCCCAACAATATTTCTTATCTGGGGCTTAGATGGATATGCTGTTGTCATGTTTTTTATTTTTATTCTTGGCAGTACGATGTTCGTATTAGGAACAGAATGCTGTTCAAACTCTGAAAAAGGTGAGTGCTTTAAAATGTTCTTAATCATTTTCAGTTCAATACGAAATTAAGTAAAATAACATTTGACAAAGAAAATTATGGTCAGATCTAAAAATAAGTTGTTAAGTGAAAAATTGTAAGTCAAATATGCAATTCTTGAACTTTGAATGGTTTTCCACAATTCAATATGCGTAGCAAAAAGAAAAATTTGATTTCTTTTACTTTTCTCCTCTATTTTTGTATCTTAAGATTTACTCTCCCACACTTTCTTGATGTGTAATGGAGATAATTAATGAATATAATTATTGCATATGAGTTATAACTTATAAGAAGAAGAAAGAAGATTTCATTGAAAATGTATAAAACTATCTGTAGCGTGAGGCAAGAAATTATTTCTACTATTAGATATAAAATGCGCCACGCAGGTGTTCAAACTATCATTGGAGAAAAATTTCCGTGTTTTTTTATCATTTAGGATTATGTCTTAAGTGATTTTTATCACAAAATATATCATTACGTAAAAAAAAAGGTAAAATATTTTTGTATTTTGAGTTATTTGATAAGATAAGAAATGTTGTTTTATACTGGCGGTCAATGATTAAAGTCGAATCGATTAGTCATTCAAAACGTTATTCACGTATAAATGAGAATCGTGTATAGATATAGAGATAATAAATGTGTATATTCGTCATAGAATATATCCCTTTCATAAAAATCGAAACCATTAACAGCAAAAGTGTTTCAAGGCAAAACAAAAAATCCTAATTTTCTTGTTCCTAAATAATTTCCATTTCAAATATAATGTTGGAAATTTTCAGAAAATGTTCAGAATACAACAATGTTATAATTATTTTATTGGGCATTCGACAACCCCTGTGCTTTGTCGCTTGAACATTGTAAGAAAGTTTGTTATGCCGAAACGTTCGTTCATTCCACCTTTGGAAAGTTCTTTTTCCTGTTAGTTATTGAGAATGAAATTAATGGTTTGATGAAAGCTAGTGCTCTTATATTCTTCCTGCAAACCATGAATAAATTATGTTTCTAATAATAATATAGTTGTAACGTGTGCTGTCCAAGATCGAATGAATTTTTCTTTTTTCTCATCCTTATAAAGCACTTCAGTGAACTAATGTGTAAAATGTTTTGATAATGGAGAAATAAGTACAGTGGGAAACCTTTCACAGTGACAATTAAAACATTCTAGGTTGACCCGAAATTTCATGCCTTTAATAATTTATCACTCATTTCTTGATATTTCTGTATAAAAAAAACATTTCATTCGTTATAATTTTCTTTGAACTCCTTCAGAATGTTTTTGCTTTTTATTGATTTAATTATACTTGCAAACATTGGTCTCGACAAGGCATTTATATGACTGAAAGCTAATTTAGTGAAGGCTAACGTGACTTTCGTCCCTTCTCTTAGTATGCACTGCTTTTTTTAATCCAATTTTTAAAGGCTGATGAAAAGCAAACTATTTCAGGAAATTAAGGACAAGAACATTCGTTTCAGTCTTTGGATAGAAATTTTCAACATCAGAAAGAATTTTTAACAAATGAAACTCTCGATAAAACTTTCCTTTCTTAACCTTTTAGCACCCAAACTACATATTAAAAAGGTTTATTGAACTTTTTCCATTGTCACACCTTATATTTCTAATACACATATTTCAATATAATTTCGAGACATTCTAATCAATAAAATGAGGACTAAAAAGATTAACAGCATAAACAGCAACAAATTTCACAAAAAAACTGTTACGATCATTGTTTATTTACCTTCCCTTTCTTTCGGAATTTCTTGTAATTTTTCCTCTATCACTTTTATTATCTAGAGGTGCAGGTGGAATCATTCATAAACTCAGATCTCCGTACGCATATTGGTAGACGTTTAGCCGATGGTGGATTATCGTCTAGCGGTGAAATTGCAACAGATCGTGAAGATTCACCACTTCAATCGAAACGATCGAGTATGTTTCAGATTTTTGAAAATCTTTAATGTTACAATCACTTAAATGTTGCTGTAGTTGTCACGTGTATTAAATTTAAATTTCATAAAAATATTTTATCATCGCTCACCGCATTCATTCTACTCATCAATCAGATTCAAATGCTATCGAATCATCCACATTCAGAAAAGGTTTATTTTTTGTGAGAGTTGCAGAGGAACCATACCATATGTTATTAACGTTTAAAGCACTTTAATAGTTTCATTTTGTTGTCGCTGTTTAATTTATTCCTGATTTTCTTAATAATTTATTCAACGTATTAAGAAACAGAAATTAAATGTTTGTCAAAATCGCTTCATATGTTCTTAAATTTAGTTTTGCATGAATAAATTCCATGTTTTATTTTCTACGGTTTACACAGGTACATCATACGACAATGAGCAAGAGCTTCGAGCACATCCATCGTGTGTATCTAATGATAATGAAATGGATGAGAGCGGATACTTTGAGCAGATCGGAAGAGCGTCGTGTAGGGNAAGTTTACATTTTTTTGGGACACTGACAAGTTTACTGTTTTCATGTTTTTAATCTATTTAATATGCTGTGTATTGTTTGTGATATGGTCAACATATTGTTTAAGCTCAAACATCGGTAAGTGAATAAAATTCACATTTTCCAAAAAAAAAAAATCAACCAAACATAACATTTATCTAATTTATGAGAAATTAAAAGTTTTGATGTCGAGAACCGAATAACACTATAATAGTTTTGCTCTTAAATGTATTAAAATTGATCATTTTGGAAGAATTCTTTTGATTTGTTCAATGTTGTCGATGAGAATGTGTTAAATTTAAATTTTGAGTTTTTATCTTTATTTATTTATTTATTTGTATTTGAGCTACAAAAACAGGTTGAACCCTTATGCTGCAGCAAATATATTGTGTTTTATGCTCTGTGTATCTTTATAATTTTATAAACTGTTTTATTGCAAGTTTTATTGTATTTTCAGATACAAACTTTAATTCAAACAAAAACTATTGCAATTGCACCGATAAATGTTTAGCTGATGATGGATTGTCTCCAAGTGTAGAAGTTGAACTTGACTGTGAAGAATCGAAATTGCATTCAAAACGATCGGGTTAGTTTTAGTTTTTTTTATTTAGTAAATTCTTTAAACGTTTCATTGTCTTTTTATGCTTTTTATTGAAATTATTTTTTAAAAAATTTTTATGGTTTACACAGTAACATCATACGACAATGAACAAGAGCTTCGAGCACATCCATCGTGTGTATCTAATGATAATGAAATGGATGAGAGCGGATACTTTGAGCGTCTTGGAGTGAAAACTGAGACTTTTCTTGAGAAGTTCTTCACTGCTTGGGGAACTTACTGTGCGAATAATCCATGGAAAATTCTTTTGTTAGGTAGGAATTAAATCAAATGAATTTATAATCAATTTAACACTCTTAACTCCCCAGGTCTCATATTTATTGCAATACTGGGATACGGTTTGAAGTCACTTCATGTTACAACAAATCCTGTTGAACTTTGGGCTTCTCCACATTCACGAGCTCGAATCGAACGAAAATTCTTTGACACACATTTTGGTCCCTTCTATAGAATCGAACAAATTATCATTCACGCTGTTGACTTACCAGGAATTCAACACAACACGTCCAATGGTGTGGTTGAGTTCGGACCTGCTTTCAATAAAGAATTTTTAATTGAAGTTTACAATCTTCAACAAATGATTCGTGATATAAACGATTCGTCGCTGAAAGAGATTTGTTTTGCTCCATTGAGTGTCTCTTATCGTGGCCCGACTGAGATCGAAGATTGCGTCGTTCAAAGTGTTTGGGGATATTTTCAAGACGACATGGACACATTTGAAGAAAAAGACGAAGACCCAAATGGTTATGAAATGAATTATCTCGACAAATTTTTGAAGTGCTTCAACAATCCATATGATCTTGATTGCTTGGCTACGTATGGTGGTCCCATCGATCCAGCTGTTGCTTTGGGAGGTTTCCTCAAATCAGGAGATAATTTGGCCAAAAATCCGCAATATGAAAATGCGACCTCAGTGATTCTAACATTCTTGGTGAATAACAAAGACAACTCATCACTTTTAACACCAGCATTGGAATGGGAGAAGAATTATGTCGAATTGATGTTGAATTACACCTCGTCTAACCGTTCAAAACATCTTGATATTGCTTTCACATCTGAACGGTCAATAGAAGATGAATTAAATCGCGAATCCAAATCAGACATTTCAACAATTCTTGTCTCGTATCTCTTAATGTTCGCATATATTGCTGTGTCGTTAGGTCACGTTGACGAATGTAATCGAGCAATGATCGACAGTAAAATCACTTTGGGAATCGGTGGAGTGATCATTGTTTTAGCTTCAGTAGTAGCATCAGCAGGATTGTTCGGTTACATAGGAGTGTCAGCGACTCTGATCATATTTGAAGTGATTCCATTTCTAGTATTGGCAGTTGGTGTCGATAACATTTTCATTCTTGTACAAACTCATCAACGAGATATCAAGAGGCCTAACGAAACACATGCTGAACATATCGGAAGAATTCTCGGCAAGGTCGGTCCATCAATTCTCTTGACCTCAATAAGCGAGTCGACTTGTTTCTTCCTTGGTGGACTCTCAGACATGCCAGCAGTAAAAGCATTCGCACTCTACGCTGGCATGGCCCTTTTCTTTGATTTTCTTCTTCAAATCACATGTTTTGTGAGTCTTCTGGCTTTAGACACTGCAAGACAAGCTGAAAATCGTTGGGACATTCTCTGCTTCTTGCGTGGCTCGAAGAAAGAAATGTCTAGCAGTCATTCCACAGAGACAGTGAAAGAAGGTGTTTTGTATAAGTTCTTCAAAGTCATTTACGTGCCTTTTTTGATGAAGAAACTTGTACGAACAATAGTCATGATCGTGTTCTTTGGTTGGTTGTGCTCAAGTATTGCTGTAGCGCCACACATCGACATTGGATTAGATCAAGAGTTATCAATGCCTGAAGATTCGTTTGTTCTCAAATATTTCCGATATTTACAGAGTTACTTGTCTATCGGTCCACCGACTTATTTCGTTCTAAAAGGCGGTCTCAATTTCTCAGCCACTCAAGACCAGAACTTAGTTTGTGGCGGTCTAAACTGTAACTTGGACAGTTTGTCAACACAGCTCTACATTTCATCGAATATTCCTGAGTCGACATATATCGCCCGACCCGCTAGCAGTTGGATTGACGACTATTTCGACTGGTCACAAATTGAAACTTGTTGCAGGATAAACAAATTCAATGACAGTTTTTGTCCACATTCGACTTATGATTCCAATTGTATTGAATGTAATATTGAACTCAATGACTTAAATCGACCGGCATCAAATGAGTTTAAGAAGTATATCAGCTTCTTCCTCGAAGACAATCCAGACTCGTCGTGTGCCAAAGCGGGTCATGCAGCTTACAGTGCGGCTGTAAATTTAAAGCAACATAATCGGATTGATGCCAGCTACTTCATGACTTATCACACAATTCTAAAATCATCCGAAGATTACTACGAAGCTCTTCGGTCAGCTCGCAAAATATCAGCCAACATAACACGAACAATTCATGCTTCGATGCGACTCGCAAACCGAGATGAAAGTGAAATTCAGGAAGTAGAAGTTTTTCCTTATTCCGTGTTCTACGTCTTTTATGAACAATATTTGACGATGTGGCCCGACACTTTACGCAGCATGGGGATCTCGGTTCTCTCCATATTTATCGTAACATTCCTTCTCATGGGTTTTGACATTCATTCATCGATTGTTGTCGTCATCACGATCACCATGATCGTAATCAATCTCGGTGGATTGATGTTCTATTGGAGTATTTCATTGAATGCTGTTTCTTTGGTGAATCTTGTGATGGCTGTTGGAATATCAGTAGAGTTTTGTTCACATCTTGTGCATAGCTTCAGTGTTTCAGTGCAAGAAACAAAAGTCAAACGATCAGCTGATGCACTCACTAAAATGGGAAGCTCAATCTTCTCAGGAATCACTTTGACAAAATTCGGTGGCATTCTCGTCTTAGGCTTTGCACAAAGCCAAATATTCCAAGTCTTTTATTTCCGAATGTACTTGGGCATTGTACTGTTTGGAGCCGCACACGGTCTCATTTTCTTACCAGTTCTTCTTAGTTATATCGGTAAGTAATCTTGCAAAAAATGTTCATTAACACTTTTAAATTAATCATTTTTCACAATTGAATCCAAATCCAACTAATGCATAGCTCGTTGGAATGATTTATTTTGCATAAGTGTTAAAAACCATATTCTAATAAGTGATAACCGCAAGAAATAGTTAAACAGAAGAGATATTTAAGAGGTTGAAAAATAAAAGCTTTTTGCATGTTGAGTTACAAAACGTGACATTTAAATGCGATGTTTTCATGATAACAACTACAAACTTCAAACAAATTAGGAATTCTCATGCGTTGGAAGAAAAATGAAATGAAATTTGATTTGTTTGATTTTTTTTAATTAAGATTGCGTTTTTCTTTCTTTCTTTTTCTTCCTTCAAATCATTCAATTTCATCATGGATTTGAAATGAAATGAACCATCACAGGTGCCCCGATAAATAAAGCAAAATTGGCATATTATCGACGAAGAGCACAGGAGACACAGGAAACATCACTCTCGACAGTAAGCATCTTACCTTCATGTCTTGATGAAATTCGATGTCACGATTAACGTCCTTTGCACACTTTATACGTGAAACACTCAATAAAATTGCGGATATTTGATTAATTCTTGGCACGAAATTTATAAGTTTAATTAAATTTCTATGTACATATCTTTTTTAAATCATTAATTCTTCAATTCCTTTTTTATTTTTAAATAACCACTTTTGTTAGGCCGGCAATAAAAAGTTTTTAAATCAATTTTTGTTTGATATTTCCCAGAACTTTTAAAAGTAATCTTATAGTTCGTCTAATTTATTTCTTTGGTTTGAAGAAAAATAAAATGTTTTTACTTTTTAATCATCACTAATAAATTAATTAGGTATTATTTTAATTTTAGAGCTTTTATTTTTCCTTTAATACTATGCATGACCTTTCAACTTATTTTTCTGTAAATTGTATCCATTAACTCATAAATATAAACATAATTTTTTCTAATTGCTTAAAACTAAAGTCAGGTCGAGAAAACATTAATCAAGTGTTTCTTTTTCAAAAATAAAAAATATGTGATGAGTTCTAACTTTTATATATTCATTAATTAATTATTACCTAGTTAAATAATAAGTAACTTTTTTGTAATAAAAATAATTCTTTTTAGGCGTGATGTATCGTAAAAAGCGACCTGATACAAGCACCGTCAACCCATATGACTCCACTTCTCAGGTGTCGGATGACTGTGAGCCTCTTCTCTCCCCAGATGAACCACATTCCTCCTCTTACGAATCTATAAATTAAAAGTTGTACTTCAAAAAAATGAATTCAAAATTTAAAGCTGAAAATATCTAAATATTTTTTTATTAAATATCTACTTAATATCAACAAAAAAATAAAAANTGGCGGTCTAAACTGTAACTTGGACAGTTTGTCAACACAGCTCTACATTTCATCGAATATTCCTGAGTCGACATATATCGCCCGACCCGCTAGCAGTTGGATTGACGACTATTTCGACTGGTCACAAATTGAAACTTGTTGCAGGATAAACAAATTCAATGACAGTTTTTGTCCACATTCGACTTATGATTCCAATTGTATTGAATGTAATATTGAACTCAATGACTTAAATCGACCGGCATCAAATGAGTTTAAGAAGTATATCAGCTTCTTCCTCGAAGACAATCCAGACTCGTCGTGTGCCAAAGCGGGTCATGCAGCTTACAGTGCGGCTGTAAATTTAAAGCAACATAATCGGATTGATGCCAGCTACTTCATGACTTATCACACAATTCTAAAATCATCCGAAGATTACTACGAAGCTCTTCGGTCAGCTCGCAAAATATCAGCCAACATAACACGAACAATTCATGCTTCGATGCGACTCGCAAACCGAGATGAAAGTGAAATTCAGGAAGTAGAAGTTTTTCCTTATTCCGTGTTCTACGTCTTTTATGAACAATATTTGACGATGTGGCCCGACACTTTACGCAGCATGGGGATCTCGGTTCTCTCCATATTTATCGTAACATTCCTTCTCATGGGTTTTGACATTCATTCATCGATTGTTGTCGTCATCACGATCACCATGATCGTAATCAATCTCGGTGGATTGATGTTCTATTGGAGTATTTCATTGAATGCTGTTTCTTTGGTGAATCTTGTGATGGCTGTTGGAATATCAGTAGAGTTTTGTTCACATCTTGTGCATAGCTTCAGTGTTTCAGTGCAAGAAACAAAAGTCAAACGATCAGCTGATGCACTCACTAAAATGGGAAGCTCAATCTTCTCAGGAATCACTTTGACAAAATTCGGTGGCATTCTCGTCTTAGGCTTTGCACAAAGCCAAATATTCCAAGTCTTTTATTTCCGAATGTACTTGGGCATTGTACTGTTTGGAGCCGCACACGGTCTCATTTTCTTACCAGTTCTTCTTAGTTATATCGGTGAGCTTCTTCTTAAAGATTTGTATTTGTTAAATGTTTAAAAGTTTTCTCGAAACAGGTACACCAGTGAATAAACTAAAACTACAACGCAATCGGGAAAAGAAATTTTTTGAATTACAGGAACTTTCAACATTTTTTAAGCACTCGAACTTTAATGTCATCCAGGAAAATTAAAATTGTTGAAGTCAAATTAGGTTTAAATTTTAAACATTTTCCATATTTTAATACAAAAACTTTTACTTTGTTCCTATATTGCCTCGAAGTTTTTAAGTTGGGAATGATTAGGTAATAAATTNATCAACAAAAAAATAAAAATTACAAAAAGAGAAAAACAAAAATCATGCCAACAGGGAAAAAAGTGAATGCTTTTGATAGTTTTAGAAGAATAATTTCAGTGTCTACGGGTTCGCATTAGAAGTTTTAACTGGAACAATTTAACATGGCGTTATCCATGTGATAAATGAGAATGTTATGAAAGCTTTTGATGCAAATTTGATGTAACTGAAGTGCTCGATTGCCTTTCGTTCTCAATTGTTAAACTGTTTTTAAAATTATATCAAAAACATTGACTTTCCTTTTGACTTTTTGAGGTAAAATGATGTCTAATTTTAGATTTTCATGATTAAATGTTAACTTTATATCGAAATTGTCATAATTGGCTTATTAACAAATTGGTATTATGATTAAAATTAGAACCTAATTTTATTCAGCTCTTTACCTTTAATTTAATTCTAATATCATGTCTCATGAATACTTCAAAAAAGCTAAAAGAAAATTTCTAAAGGCCATATAAAAATATTTCTAAAGTCAAAACCGAAAATTTGAATCATCAACAAATTGCATTCATTTTAACTTTTTTTATCTTTAAAATAAGATTTGTTCACAATGAATGAGAAAGAATTATGAACCGTTATTAAAAATCTATTAAATCCTTGCTTTTCTTTCCTGCAAAGATAGTTAAGTTGAAAAATTCGTACTTACAAGGTTTTTATGGAAAATTTGTAATTTAATTTAAATCAAACTACTTAGGTATTAAAATGAAGAGCCTTAAAAGAAGACAATGACTTGTAAACCGAAAAGTAAATTAATCTGTTTGTTGACTAAGGGTGTCACAAAACGGTCGGCAGTGACTGGTCAGCACAAAAACAATTTCAATGAGATTGAATAGTGCTGTCATTTCCATTTGCCAATACGACCATTGCCCTCAAATGCGTCGGCTAAGATGATGGTTCCTTTATGGGCTGTCCTTGATTTGATGATGACATAGGGTGTCGTTTGAATCTGAAATATACAATAATGTTCTAAATTAGAAAGTAAAGATAAAAAGAAATTGTTACGATGTGCGTGGATAACTGTTGGTTGATTAAAATTTATTGTTCAGTTTAGAATAGCAGATCAATTATAGTTTTATTCACCAACCGTTCATTTGAAGTAAAGTATTGGCATAGATATTGGTACTGAAAAATGTAGTAGGTATTTTTTTAAGAAAGGAAAAGAAGAAAAATCTTCTTAATAAATATATTTTAATGTTGGATGGAAAGGGGTTTAAGACTTTTAAGTGATAAATTTTTGACTGGTAGCGAATATGCTTTTATGACTTTCATTTTCGTCTAAAATATTTATTATTTAGATATATTAAATATTTAAATTTCCTATTAAATATCACTTGATTATTCCTTAATGCTTCTACATATAAGTACATATATTTACTACATGTTTATGTTAGTAATTTAAAATATTTTTATTATAATTTGTTCCATTCTTTTCTATATTATTGCTGAAGCTCTTCAAGCTCACTTTTCATAATTTTATTTCATATGTTGATCTTTTCATTAGTCCAAATCATTTAATTAATGAATTAAGTGAATTTATTTCTAAGTGACAATATTTAAAATTGTTTTTTGGTACTCAGAGTGACTCTTGAGTGAAAAGAAGTTCGAGACGAGTCGTTTGAAATAAAATTAGATCAATAAAACAATTTGAAAACTTTTGAAATTTTCACAACAAATATGAAATAGGATGCCTTACAATGAAATTCTATTATGTTTTCCAACCATTTGTCTTAGATAATCATTCTGTTAAGTAAACTTGATTCAATTTCAAATATTCCAATTCTCTATATAATCTGGATTTAAAAGTTTGAAGGAGCTGTTTAAATTTATAAATTTAGCTCAACAATGTGCTGAAATAATATCTATTTACTGACGACACCCTCAAATATGTATTTACGTTAAAAACAAATCAATTATCATACAAAACCCTTGGAATAGAATATTTATTTTTTAAATAATCGAACATTAGTGAAAAATCGTATTGAAAAATTTATATCCTAAAACTTTTTTTGTTGTAAAAAGTCAAAACAGAAGAGAAAGTAAAGAATTTCCTTGAAATAAATGCAATAAAATTTTTAAAAACTGGTAAAACTTGCGTATTTATTTAAGATAAGAATATATTTTTCCGGAAA